TACGTAGGACCCGCGCGTCCTTTTTTTTTTTTTTGTTTGGTCTTTTATAGATTCTCTACACGGAGCGAATATCAATCATTCCACGTTCCTTTTTATAAAAGACCAACTCACCACTTGTCTTTCCCCTTGGCTTCGGATTTCCGTCAACCATCGGATCCCAGCAGGCAGGTCGAGTCCAGTTCCTCAAAGAGGTCTTTAAGACTCATCCTAAAGAGTCTGCCGTGGCCACGGTCTTATCTGTCGTCCACCTCACCTGCTGGAATCGTCTGGTCTATTGGAATCCGGCTCGAAGGACCAAGAAATGTTGGGTTTAAAACCTGCCCAAATACCTGAAAACATATAAAAAAGGAGAAAGACAATGGAATATACTCGAGGAGAATGGACAGAGATCTTTCTTTTAGTTATCTCAATACCACTCTAAGGGTTCTTTCTAGGCCTGTCGCGATAATCAATAAATCGCCTTATCGCTCGATAAATAAAAACGAGGTCGGTCATTTTGCCAGCCTCGATAATTGACGTGCGTTTGTTTTCCTCCTCTCTCCCTACCAAATACGCTGGATGAGAGAAGAGGTCTCACTCTGTGCATTGTTCTCGGCACCTGGGGGCGTTGGCTCTATAGCGGAATGAACGGAGTTAGTGAACCCTCCTCTCAGTCATTCGGTGTCTTTGTCACGAGGGGGCTGGCGCGCACAGGCACACAGACACAGACTTTTTGGATACAGTGCTGCAAGTGAGCGTCGTGAGTGAAAAGCAAGCTAACAGAATGAACACGACAGCTTTGGTGTCTAAACCGAACGCAACAGCCCAAGTGTGGGAATATTTCGGCTTTAAACTAGTTTTGTTTTCGTCAACCACAAAACTCGTGTGTGTGTGTGGGCGCGCGCGTGCGTGTGTGTCTGTGTGTTGGAGGAGCACAGCAGGCTGATGAGAGCTGTCAGAGCGGACTGAAGCTGCCCCTGTATGTTTAGCGTTTAACTGACTGAGTTTTGCAACTCTGTTCGTCATTTTCGTCTCGTCACATTTAAGTCATCTCCGACTTATGTTTAGCTCGTCAACGTTACGTCTTCGTCGTGGGAGAAAAGGGAAATATTTTAGTCAACGAAAACAACCAGTGTTGTTCTCGTGTGGAAATTAAAGTTTATCACTTTTGACATGGTGTACTCGCATTATTATGCCATATAATATCATTATCTGTAATTTAAAAAACGGTGTCAATAATATCGTTTATCGGCGATAATTTGTAGCACAATTATCGTCCAGCAAAATTTGTTATCGTGACAGGCCTAGTTCTTTCTCTGTCCGGCCTCTTTTATTTAGGGTTGTCCCTGGTTACACAATGTTTCTAAAAGGTGGGGGGAAATTGGGCAGCAAAGTAAGCACTCTCATAAAGCATAATAATGAACAACTTGTGAATATGTGAAGGTCAAGGCGGCATCTAACGAGCTACTTCTGATAAGGGTATCCTCCCCAAAACCTTCCCACCATTCATGCGCGGAGGATACATCACTCACACACCCACACCTGCTGATAGGAAAGACACGTCACAGAAAACTGAAAGAAACATTGTTGTGCTATGTAGTAAATCTATTGGAGAGAGAAGTTAGGAAACACTCTTAGATGATGTATAAAAAGAGGTCAAAACAGTTTATACTTGTAGTCAACTCTTACATAAGAATATGAGGAATAATGATAACTTCTATATACATTTATGCACATTATTCTAACACACACGAACTCAAGTTCAAATACACCACAAACTCAAGTTCAAACGCGACACAAACTCAAGTTCAACCAACACCTGATTCTCAAGTTTAACAATTTCCACAACCTCAAGTTCAAAAACAACACAGACTCAAGTTCAAAAACGCCACAAACTCAAGTTCAAACACGACACAAGCTCAAGTTCAACAAACCCCACAAACTCAAGTTCAAACACGACACATGCTCAAGTTCAACAAACCCCACAAACTCAAGTTCAACAATTGCCACCAAGTAAAGTTCACTAAAAACCATAAACTCAAGTTCAACAATTGACAGAAAACTTAAGTTCAAAAACACCACAAACTCTAGTTCAAAAACACCACAAACTCAAGTTCAAACATGACATAAACTCAAGTTCAACCAACACTCAAATCTCAAATTAAACAATATCCAAAACCTCAAGTTCAAGAACAACAGAAACTCAAGTTCAAACACGCCACAAACTCAAGTTCAACAAATGTAAAAGTTTTAAGTTCAACCAAAACCCAAATCTCAAGTTTAACAATTTCCACAACCTCAAGTTCAAAAACAACAGAAACTCAAGTTCAAACACTAGACAAACTCAAGTTCAACAAACACACAATCCTCAAGTTCAACAATTGCCACAACCTAAAGTTCAAAAACACCCCCAACTCAAGTTCAAAAACACCACAAACTCAAGTTCAAACAAGACACAAACTCAAGTACAACAAACGCCACAAACTCAAGTACAACAAACGCTACAAACTTAAGTTCAGTGAAAGATACAGACTCAAGTTCAACAATTGCAACAAACTCAAGTTCAACAAACACCACAATCTCAAGTTCAACAAATGACCTAAACTCACATTTAACAATTGCCAAAAACTCAAGTTCAACAAACTCAAGTTCAAAAATTGCCACAAACTCAAGTTCAAAAACACACAAACTCAAGTTCAACAAATTTCAAAGTTTGAAGTTCAACCAACACCCAAATATCAAGTTTAACAATTGCCACAACCTCAAGTTCAACAAACACACAAACTCAAGTTCAAAAACACCACAAACTCAAGTTCTTAACAACACAAACTCAAGTTCAAAAAACACACAAGCTCAAGTTCAAAAACACCCCAAACTGAAGTTCAAACATGAAACAAAGTCAAGTTCAACAATTTCCACAACCTCAAGTTCAAAAACAACAGAAACTCAAGTTAAAACACGCCACAAACTCAAGTTCAACAAAGACACAAACTCAAGTTCAAGTTCAAAAACACCACAAACCCAAGTTCAACCAACACCCAAATCTCAAGTTTAACAATTGCCACAAACCTAAGTAAAAAAAACACACAAACTCAAGTTCAAAAACACCACAAACTCAAGTTCAAACATGACACAAACTCAAGTTCAACCAACACCCAAATCTCAAGTTTAACAATTGCCACAACCTCAAGTTCAAAAACAACAGAAACTCAAGTTAAAACACGAGACAAACTCAAGTTCAACAAACACACAAACTCAAGTTCAATCAATACCCAATTATCAAGTTTAACAATGTCCACAACCTCAAGTTCAACAAACTTAAGTTCAAAAATTGCAAAAAAAATCAAGTTCAAATACGACACAAACTCAAGTTCAACCAACACCCAAATCTCAAGTTTAACATTTGCCAAAACCTCAAGTTCAAAAACAACACAAACTCAAGTTCAAACACGCCACAAACTCAAGTTCAACAAACACACAAACTCAAGTTCAAAAACACCACAAATTCAAGTTCAAACATGTCACAAACTCAAGTTCAACAAACACAGAAACTCAAGTTCAACCAATACCCAAATATGAAGCATAGCGTTAAGGGGTGTTCAGACCAAACGCGACTTCGGCGACGTCAGCGACGGCTCCCAATGCAAAGTCTATGGACAGCCGCGACCTGACGCGACTTGGCGACCGCCGGCTACCTGCGTCGCGTTGCCGAGGTTGCATCGCCGAGGTCGCAGGACGCCAAGTCTCGTCGCTCCCAAAGTTCAAATATTTGAACTGGGCTGCGGGATGTATATATGAGGGAGAAAAGGAGGGAGAAGGAAGGTAGGAGAAGCGGGTCAGCAGCGACCAGCCGCGTCCTGCGACCGCAGCTTTGGACCCGGTGTGAACACACCAGAGCACCACGCGACGCAACCTGGTCGCGGCTGCAATTACACCTAATCCGCGGAGCCAAATCCTTGCAGGTACTGACATTAGTCTTGCTGTGCTCAGACTACAATGATAGACGCATTGTGGATTGCGGAGATGAGCCTGTGATGCTTAAATATCGTGATGCCCGGCTGTTTAAATCTCCGACCTTGGCTGAATTCATAGCTTTCGGCGTATTTGTAGATGTCATATGTAAAGTGTTTTCAGCACGCAGAACTGAACTGGACACATATCTCGCCATTATTTCTGATTCAGCCATGACATCATTATTCTACGAACATTACAAATCATTTTCAGCAAAGCTGCTAAGTACATTCAAAGATTCAGCCAAAGACTTGATCAGTCCGTAGTCGACCTGGCTCTAATCAGTTAACAATTCACCGAGCATCAAGCTTTTTCCTGCTTAATCTGCGGGTCTTTCTCTCACCTGGAGGTGAAAGTAAGCCATTACGCAGCAGTACGCCATTTCGGGAAGACATAATCAGCTGTTTAAAGTTTTCACCCCTGTCATGTATCTAGGCTTAGTCTGTTGCTGCACATCAGTCTGCACTCTGCGTTATAACCGAAGTAATCCAATAGGACCATGCCGCTTGAGAGTGAGTGGTATTTGCTTACAAATAAACTCCAAGTGGGAGCACCAGTGCGCACTTTTGATTGGACGCTGGTTGCCTAGGTGCAGGGGCCCACCTTCCGCCTTTTGCGGAAGGAGGGAACTTTTAAAGAGTCAGCTGCTTCAATCTTAATGCAGAAATAAGACAAAATGCAGAGGAAAATAATAATAATAATAATAATAATAATAATAATAATAATAATAATAATAATAATAATAATAATAATTTTATGTTTAAGAGAGAGATACAGCAGATGATGATACTGTGGCATCGGAGTCAGCAACTCGCTTAACTTGGGTGTGCTCCTCTTGTACAAAGTCTACGGGTACAGTACCTGGAGGAACCTTATCCTACCTTGTCCACCCCTGCCCACACCTCTAATCGGTACCCTAAAACTGTGGCTACAGGCCAACCACCCAAGCCTCTCTAAGCCTACTACTCGGAGAAGCCAAGTTACTCCAGGGACGGGCATCTGAAATCAGCATGCCCATGACGCCAGAAAATCTAGTTCAAACACTTCACAAACTCAAGTTCAAAAACACCACAAACTCAAGTTCAACCAACACCCAAGTCACAAGTTTAACAATTGCCACAAACTTCAGTTCAAAAAACACAAAAGCTCAAGATCAAAAACACCACAAACTCATGACAAAAAACATGACACAAACTCAGGTTCAACAAACACACAAACTCAAGTTTAACCAATACCCAATTCTCACGTTTAACAATTTCCACAACCTCAAGTTCAAATACAACACAAACTCAAGTTCAAACACGACACAAACTCAAGTTCAAACACGACACATACTCAAGTGCAAAAACACCACAAACTCAAGTTCAACAATTGCCACCAACTACAGTTCAGAGAAAAATACAGACTCAATTTCAAAAATTGCCACAAACTCAAGTTCAACAAACACACAAACTCAAGTTTAACCAATACCCAATTCTCACGTTTAACAATTTCCACAACTTCAAGTTCAAATACAACACAAACTCAAGTTCAAACACGACACAAACTCAAGTGCAAAAACACCACAAACTCAAGTTCAACAATTGCCACCAACTAAAGTTCAGAGAAAAATACAGACTCAAGTTCAAAAATTGCCACAAACTCAAGTTCAACAAACACCACAAACTCAAGTTCAACAAATGTCAGTTTCAAGTTCAACCAACACCCAAATCTCAAGTTTAAGAATTGCAACAACCTCAAATTCAAACATGCCAAAAACTCAAGTTCAAGAAAAACACAAACTCAAGTTCAAAAACACCACAACCTCAAGTTCAAAAAACACCACAAACTCAAGTTCAACAAACACACATACTCAAGTTCAAAAAACACACAAACTCTAGTTCAAAAAATCCAAAAACAAAAGTTCAAACAAGACACAAACTCAAGATCAACGAACACCCAAACCTCAAGTTTAACAATTGCCACAAACTCAAGTTCAAACACATCACAAACTCAAGTTCAACAAATGCCACAAACTCAAGTTCAAAGATGCCACCAACTAGAGTTCACTAAAAACCACAAACTCAAGTTGAACAAAGACCACAAACTCAAGTTCAACAAACTCAAGTTCATAAATTGCCACAAACTTAAGATAAAAAAACACACAAATTCAAATTCAAAAACACCACAAACTCAAGTTCAAACGACACAAACTCAGGTTCAACCAACACCCAAATCTAAAGTTTAACAATTGCCACAACCTCAAGTTCTAAAACAACACAAACTCAAGTTCAAACACGCCACAAACTCAAATTCAAAAAACATACAAATGCAAGTTCAACCAATACCCAATTCTCAAGTTTAACAATTTCCACAACCTTAAGTTCAAAAACAACACAAACTCAAGTTAAAAAACACCACAAACTCAAGTTCAAACACGACACAAACTCAAGTTCGAAAAACACCACAAACTGAAGTTCAAACAACACCCGATTCTCAAGTTTAACAATTTCCACAACCTCAAGTTCAAAAAACACACAAACTCAAGTTCAAACATGCCACAACCTCAATTCAAAAAACACCACAAACTCAAGTTCAAACACGCCACAAACTCAAGTTCAACAAACGCCACAAACTCAAGTTCAAAAACACCAGAACCTCAAGTTAAAAAAACATAATAAACTCAAGTTCAAATATTCCACAAACTCAAGTTCAATGAACACCACAAACTCAAGTTCAACCAACACCCGATTCTCAAGTTTAACAATTGCCACAACCTCAAGTTAAAAAAACACAAACTCAAGTTCAACAAACGCCACAAGCTCAAGTTCAACAAACGCCACAAACTCAAGTTCACTAAAAACCACAGACTCAAGTTCAACAATTGCCAAAAAATCAAGCTAAACAAACTCAAGTTCATAAGTTGCCACAAACTTCAAACACGACACAAACTCAAGTTCGAAAACACCACAAACTCAAGTTCAAAAACGACACAAACTCAAGTTCAACAAACAAAACTAACTATTTAGAGTAATTTTGAGGTGTTTGAAAGGTTTTTTGTAGACTTACCCTAGTGGTCCTATGTTGTTGTTGATGTGAGGCGTTTCTTTTCCAGTAGTCTAAAATCTGTTGGAGGGGGAAAAAGGGTCCAGCTGTCCAGCCGCGGCGGCAGCGGTGTGTCTGAGGTCCGGGGTCCTCGGCGGGGGAAAGAAGATAGATGCTCCGCGGCAAGGTTTGCTGGGACTCGGTGCCGTCGGCGGGTCGAAGCTCGGTGGTTGGCGGCTTGGAGTGATGGAGGTCTTCTTTCAGGTGGCGGCGCGGCGTCTTCCTCGAGGCTGTGGTCCGTGTTCTTGGTCCAGTGGTCAGTGCTTTGTCTCAATTACAGGAACAGGAATTACTCTTTAGTGCACAGCACTTAAATGTGCTTTTGACAGGAGAAGACATCCCCAGAGTTGGGCTCGAGTCATGGTTTGTGCTGTTCCTCTCAGACATGGTTGTGTTCTCTTCTCGATGTTTGTATTCCAGAATGGATGTCTCTTGGTTGTATTTTAAACTTTCAAGTTGTTTTAAGTTAATTTTAATGTAGTTTATTTGTTTTAAATTGAGTTTTGCTACATTAAATTTGTATGCAATCGTAAGGGATTGTGGGTATTTTAGTTCTGAGGGATGAGAGCCTAAGGAATCAATCTCCCTGTTCCAGCAAAGGATTGTGGGTAAAACCGTGAGTGAGTGAGGTACATTTTTCCTGGCATGAGAACCTCAGGAGTCAGTCCTTCCTAAGAAAAAAGAGGGGAGGGGGAAGACAAACAAAAGCACAGGAACCCTAAAATAAAATAAAATAAAATAAAATAAAATAATATAAAACAATGAAAAAATAAAAAAATAAAAAAATAAAAGAAGAACAAAAGTGGATTGCAAAAGGGAAAGGAAAAGAAAAAAGGAAAAAAAGAAGTGTCAAGAGCAAATAGCAAAAATCTGAAGTGAGCTTAAAAACAGAGAACAGTTCCCTAAAAGACAGACAGAAATGTAAATTTGATCAATGTCCTAAGGGAAAATCTGCACGTGTATGTGTGTTCTTTTTTGCTAGCTTAGTCTGGTGTCACTGATGGTCAGTTATTAATAAACTTATTATTTAAATTTTTGATGAAGTTGTTTGTAGTGGGGTTAGCTGGCTAATTTTAGAGTGTTAAAAAAGATGTTTGAGGGGGAGGATTTAGGGGGCACGGCGGTTCCCCTTCAGGTCTCTCTTAATCCTCCATATAGGTGACCCAACAGGGGTTACCCCCGGCCGGGGTAGGCCTAGGCTGAAGATCACCTATTTGTCCTCTGTGAAGGTGAAAATAAAGGGGCAGGGGAGGGAATAAGAAAGAGGGGGTGTGTTAGAGAGAGGGGGAGAGATGAGGGAGAGAGATGAGGGAGAGAGAGAGAGAGAGGGGGGGTGTGTGTGTGAGAGAGAGAGAGAGAGAGAGAGAGAGAGAGAGGGAAGAGGGAGAGGGGGGTTTAAGGGAGAGGTGGAGATGGTGGAAAATAAAGATTGGTGAGGGGGATTTGGTGGCGGATGAAACATCCCATAGCTCCCCAGCTCTCACCATCCATGTGAGGAGAGTGAGCAAGGGACATAGTACCCCAACCCGACTAGGTCTAGGCTCTGCTCTCCTCACGGTGCTCACAAGATACAAAGAGATATGTAAACGTGGAAGTGAGAGTTCTCTAGGCAGAGTTTTGGGTTTGGTTTGAGCTGAGTTGGTCAGTTGATTATTGATTACTATTTTAAGTTCTAAAAGTGGATAGAGTCAAAAAGTCACAGAGGATTGTGGTGGGAGCAGGTGGTCCATCTGGCACCATTCTGCTCATGCAGGGATTCGAGTGATAGAAAGAGAATAGATCTTGCCACCGTGACTCGCCATTGAGACTCTCCTCACCTGCTGGTTTTCATCCTCTGATAGGAGAGAGAGGTACAGATCAGGAGAGAGGGAGAAAAGGAGGTAGGCAGGGTGGGGTCAGCAGTCAATTTGTCTTGAAAAGTATTTATCTTTTCGTCATTGCTGTTAGGGTTTAGATGTTTTTTGTTTAGTTTTCTGAGGAATGTAGTGTTAGTATAGGTTCCAAGGTGGAGGATTCTTTGGAATTCACTCTCACCCTTGAAACTGGAAGATCTTAGATTCTATAAAGGGGGGGGGGGGGGGGGTTGTGTGCACAGAAGGAGCATGGGCTCAGACTATTGTGACAAGTCTGTCCAAAGGCAAGTGGCTGGTTAGGTGTGGGAGAAAGAGATAGAGTTGGCGGTTTGGGGTAGGCTGATCAAGGGCTTGCACTGGCCAGCGCATGTCGATCTGTCACATGTTCCAGTCGAGTCTCCGAGCTCAATCTGTGTGTAAAAATTATGTGTTGGTTTAATGACTCAGCTCAGTTGGTATGCTATGCTGTCTATCTTTTAGACTATGTGTTTGTAGAGCAATATTATGTATATATTATGTTACAGGGCTAGGAAAAGGTTAAAGGTTTTTTGCGTTAGGGTTAAAATCACTGTCCAAAACCTTTGTAGGAACTCTTTTCCAACATTTTGGAGGGAGCCAGACTAAAAAAAAAAAAAAAGAAAAATGAAAAAAAAAGTTTTTGGGGGTGTTAAGGCTTCCTGAAGGTAATACCCAGGTATTAGGTTACGGGGCTAGTGTAAAGTTTAAGGTTTTTGGCATATGGGTTGAAATCACTGTCCAACACCTTTGTAGGAACTCTTTTCCAACCTTTTGGAGTTAGTTAGACCAAATAAAACGAAAAATGAAAAAAAAATGTTTGGGGTGTGAAGGCTTCCTTAAGGTAATATCCGGGTATTAGTTTCGGGGCTAGGGTAAGGTTTAAGGTATTTAGCGTTAGGGTTAAAATCACTGTGCAATATTTTTTAAGGAACATGTTTAAGATCTTTTGGAGTTAGTTAGACAAAAAAAAAATGAAAAAAATAAAAATAAAAATTGGGGGATGGTAGGGCTTCCTTTAGGAAGTATTACGTTTAAGGGCTAGGTAAAGGTTAAAGGTTTTTGGCGTTAGGGTGAAAATCACTGTCTAAAACCTTTGAGGGAACTCTTTTCCAACCTTTTGGAGTTAGTTAACCAAAAAAAATGAAAAAAAAAAAAAAAAAATTTGTGGTTTTCGGGCTTCCTGAAAGTAATACCCCGGTATCAGGTTTTGGGGCTAGGGTAAGGTTTAAGGTTTTTGGCGTTAGGGTTAAAATCACTGTCCAAAACCTTTGTAGCAACTCTTTTCCAACCTTTTGGAGTTAGTTAGAACAAAAAAAAATGAAAAAGAAAAAAAAATATTTGGGGTGTTCGGGCTTCCTGAAGGTAATACCCGGGTATTAGGTTATGGGGCTAGGGTAAGGTTTAAGGTTTTTTGTTTTTTGGTATTAGGTTATGGGGCTAGGGTAAGGTTTAAGGTTTTTGGCGTTAGGGTTAAAATCACTGTCCAAAACCTTTTAAGGAACATGTTTCAGACCTTTTGGAGTTGGTTACACCAAAAAAAAAATGTAAAATGAAAAAAGAAATATTTGGGGTGTTCGGGCTTCCTGAAGGTAATACCCGGGTATTAGATTATGGGGGTATGGTAAGGTATAAGGTTTTTGGCGTTAGGGTTAAAATCACTGCCAAAACCTTTGTAGGAACTCTTATCCAACCTTTTGGAGTTAGACCAAAAAAAAATGAAAATGAAAAAAAAAAATTGGGGTTTTCGGGCTTCCTGAAGGTAATACCCGGGTATTAGGTTATGGGGCTTTGGAAAGGTTAAAGGTTTTTGGCGTTCGGGTTAAAATCACTGTCCAAAACCTTTGTAGGAACAAGTTTCAAAACATTTTGGAGTTAGTTACACCAAAAAAAAAATATATATATATATATATATATTTGGGGTTTTCGGCCTTCCTGAAGGTAATACCCGGGTATTAGGTTATGGGGCTTTGGAAAGGTTAAAGGTTTTTGGCGTTCGGGTTAAAATCACTGTCCAAAACGTTTATAGGAACTCTTTTCCAACCTTTTGGAGTAAGCTGGACCAAAAAAAAAAAAAAGAAAAATATATATATATATTTGGGGTTTTCGGGCTTCCTGAAGGTAATACCCGGGTATTAGGTTATGGGGCTTTGGAAACGTTTAAGGTTTTTGGCGTTAGGGTTAAAATCACTTCCAAAACCTTTGTAGGAACTCTATTCAAACCTTTTGGAGTTAGACCAAAAAAAAAATGAAAATGAAAAAAAAATATTTGGGGTTTTCGGGCTTCCTGAAGGTAATACCCAGGTTATAGGTTTTGGGACTAGGGTAAGGTTAAAGTTTTTTGGCATTAGGGTTAAAATCACTGTCCAAAACCTTTGTAGGAACTCTTTTCCAACCTTTTGGAGTTAGTTCGACAAAAAAACAAATGAAAAATGAAAAAAAAATATTTGTGGTTTTCGGGCTTCCTGAAGGTAATACCCGGGTATTAGGTTATGGGGCTAGGGTAAGGTTTAAGGCTTTTGGCGTTAGGGTTAAAATCACTGTCCAAAACCTTTGTAGGAACTCTTTTCCAACCTTTTGGAGTTAGTTAGACCAAAAAAAAAAGAAAAAAGAAAAAAATATATTTGGGGTTTTCGGGCTTCCTGAAGGTAATACCCAGGATCAGGTTTTGGGGCTAGGGTAAGGTTTAAGGTTTTTGGCGTTAGGGTCAAAATCACTGTCCAAAACCTTTTAGGAACTCTTTTCCAATTTTTTGGAGCTACTTAGACCTAAAAAAAAAAATGAAAATGAAAAAAAAATATTTGGGGTTTTCGGGCTTCCTGAAGGTAATACCCAGGTATTAGGTTTTGGGACTAGGGTAAGGTTTAAGTTTTTTGGCATTAGGGTTAAAATCACTGTCCAAAACCTTTGTAGGAACTCTTTTCCAACCTTTTGGAGTTAGTTCGACTTAAAAAAATAGAGAAAAAAAAATATATATATATATATTTGTGGGTTTTGGGCTTCCTGAAGGTAATACCCGGGTATTAGGTTATGGGGCTTTGGAAAGGTTAAAGGTTTTTGGCGTTAGGGTTAAAATCAGTGTCCAAAACCTTTGTAGGAACTCTTTTCCAACCTTTTGGAGTTAGTTCGACTAAAAAAAATAGAAAAAAAAAAATATATATATATTTGGGGTTTTCGGGCTTCCTGAAGGTAATACCCGGGTATTAGGTTATGGGGCTTTGGAAAGGTTAAAGGTTTTTGGCGTTAGGGTTAAAATCACTGTCCAAAACCTTTATAGGAACTCTTTTCCAACCTTTTGGAGTTAGTTGGACCAAAAAAAAAGAAAAAAGAAAAGAATATATTTGGGGTTTTCGGGCTTCCTGAAGGTAATACCCAGGATTAGGTTTTGGGGCTAGGGAAAGGTTTAAGGTTTTTGGCATTAGGGTTAAAATCACTGTCCAAAACCTTTGTAGGAACTCTTTTCCAACCTTTTGGAGTTAGTTCGACAAAAAAACAAATGAAACATGAAAAAAAAATATTTGGGGTGTTCGGGCTTCCTGAAGGTAATACCCGGGTATTAGGTTATGGGGCTAGGGTAAGGTTTAAGGCTTTTGGCGTTAGGGTTAAAATCACTGTCCAAAACCTTTGTAGGAACTCTTTTCCAACCTTTTGGAGTTAGTTAGACCAAAAAAAAAGAAAAAAGAAAAAAATATATTTGGGGTTTTCGGGCTTCCTGAAGGTAGTACCCAGGATCAGGTTTTGGGGCTAGGGTAAGGTTTAAGGTTTTTGGCGTTAGGGTCAAAATCACTGTCCAAAACCTTTTTAGGAACTCTATTCAAACCTTTTGGAGTTAGACCAAAAAAAAAATGAAAATGAAAAAAAAATATTTGGGGTTTTCGGGCTTCCTGAAGGTAATACCTGGGTATTAGGTTATGGGGCTAGGGTAAGGTTTAAGGTTTTTGGCGTTAGGGTTAAAATCACTGTCCAAAACCTTTGTAGGAACTCTTTTCCAACCTTTTGGAGTTAGTTCGACAAAAAAAAAAAAAAAAAAAAAAAAATATATTTGGGGTTTTCGGGCTTCCTGAAGGTAATACCCGGGTATTAGGTTTTGGGGCTAGGGTAAGGTTTAAGGTTTTTGGCGTTAGGGTTAAAATCACTGTCCAAAACCTTTGTAGGAACTCTTTTCCAACCTTTTGGAGTTAGTTTGACTAAAAAAAATAGAAAAAAAATATATATATATATATTTGGGATTTTCGGGCTTCCTGAAGGTAATACCCGGGTATTAGGTTATGGGGCTAGGGTAAGGTTTAGGCTTTTGGCGTTAGGGTTAAAATCACTGTCCAAAACCTTTTTAGGAACTTTTTTCCAACATATTTGAGTTAGTTAGACCAAAAAAAAAAAAAAAGAAAAAAAATATATTTGGGGTTTTCGGGCTTCCTGAAGGTAATACCCAGGATTAGGTTTTGGGGCTAGGGTAAGGTTTAAGGTTTTTGGCGTTAGGGTTAAAATCACTGTCCAAAACCTTTGTAGGAACTCTTTTCCAACCTTTTGGAGTTAGTTCGACAAAAAAAAATGAAAAATGAAAAAAAAATATTTGGGGTTTTCGGGCTTCCTGAAGGTAATACCCGGGTATTAGGTTATGGGGCTAGGGTAAGGTTTAAGGTTTTTGGCGTTAGGGTTAAAATCACTGTCCAAAACCTTTGTAGGAACTCTTTTCCAACCTTTTGGAGTTAGTTCGACAAAAAAACAAATGAAAAATGAAAAAAAAATATTTGGGGTTTTCGGGCTTCCTGAAGGTAATACCCGGGTATTAGGTCATGGGGCTTTGGAAAGGTTAAAGGTTTTTGGCGTTAGGGTTAAATTCATTGTCCAAAACCTTTGTAGGAACTCTTTTCCAACCTTTTGGAGTTAGTTAGACAAGAAAAAAAGGAAAAAGGAAAAAAAAATATTTGTGGTTTTCGGGCTTCCTGAAGGTAATACCCGGGTATTAGGTCATGGGGCTTTGGAAAGGTTAAAGGTTTTTGGCGTTAGGGTTAAAATCACTGTCCAAAACCTTTGTAGGAACTCTTTTCCAACCTTTTGGAGTTAGTTAGACCAAAAAAAAAAAGAAAAAATATATATTTGGGGTTTTCGGGCTTCCTGAAGGTATTACCCAATATTAGGTTATGGGGCTAGGGAAAGGTTTAAGGTTTTTGGCATTAGGGTTAAAATCACTGTCCAAAACCTTTGTAGGAACTCTTTTCCAACCTTTTGGAGTTAGTTAGACCAAAAAAAAAATGAAAAATGAAAAAAATATATGTGGGGTGTTCGGGCTTCCTGATGGTAATACCCGGGTATTAGGTTATGGGGCTATGGTAAGGTTGAAGGTTTTTGGCGTCAGGGTTAAAATCACTGTCCAAAACCTCTTTAGGAACATGTTTCGGACCTTTTGGAGTTGGTTACACCAAAAAAAATGTAAAATGAAAAAAAAATATTTGGGGTGTTCGGGCTTCCTGAAGGTAATACCCGGGTATTAGGTTATGGGGCTAGGGTAAGGTTTAAGGTTTTTGGCGTTAGGGTTAAAATCACTGTCCAAAACCTTTGTAGGAACTCTTTTCCAACCTTTTGGAGTTAGTTAGACAAAAAAAAAAAAAAGAAAATGAAAAAAATATATTTGGGGTTTTCGGGCTTCCTGAAGGTAATACCCGGGTATTAGGTTTTGGGGCTAGGGTAAGGTTTAAGGTTTTTGGCGTTAGGGTTAAAATCACTGTCCAAAACCTTTGTAGGAACTCTTTTCCAACCTTTTGGAGTTAGTTAGACCAAAAAAAAAAAAAAAAATGAAAAAAAAAAATTGGGGGTTTTCGGGCTTCCTGAAGGTAATACCCGGGTATCAGGTTTTGGGGCTAGGGTAAAGTTAAAGGTTTTTGGCGTTAGGGTTAAAATCAGTGTCCAAAACCTTTGTAGGAACTCTTTTCCAACCTTTTGGAGTTAGTAAGACCAAAAAAAAACGAAAAATGGAAAAAAAAATATTTGGGGTCTTCGGGCTTCCTGAAGGTAATACCCGGGTATCAGGTTTTGGGGCTAGGTTAAGGTTTAAGGTTTTTGGCGTTCGGGTTAAAATCAGTGTCCAAAACCTTTGTAGGAACTCTTTTCCAACCTTTTGGAGTTAGTTAGACCAAAAAAAATGAAAAATGAAAAAAAACATATTTGGGGTGTTCGGGCTTCCTGAAGGTAATACCCGGGTATTAGGTTTTGGGGCTTTGGAAACGTTTAAGGTTTTTGGCGTTAGGGTTAAAATCACTGTCCAAAACCTTTGTAGGAACTCTTTTCCAACCTTTTGGAGTTAGTTAGACCAAAAAAAAAAAAAGAAAAAGAAAAAAAAATATATTTGGGGTGTTCGGGCTTCCTGAAGGTAATACCGGGGTATTAGGTTATGGGGCTTTGGAAAGGTTTAAGGTTTTTGGCGTTAGGGTTAAAATCACTGTCCAAAACCTTTGTAGGAACTCTTTTCCAACGTTTTGGAGTTAGCTAGACCAAAAAAAAAAAAAAAAAAAGAAAAAAAAATTGGGGGTGTTCAGGCTTCCTGAAGGTAATACCCGGGTATTAGGTTTTGGGGCTTTGGAAACGTTTGAGGTTTTTGGCGTTAGGGTTAAAATCACTGTCCAAAACCTTTGTAGGAACTCTTTTCCAACCTTTTGGAGTTAGTTAGACCAAAAAAAAAAATGAAAAATGAAAAAAAATATTTGGGGTGTTCGGGCTTCCTGAAGGTAATACCCGGGTATTAGGTTTTGGGGCTAGGGTAAGGTTTAAGGTTTTTGGCGTTAGGGTTAAAATCAGTGTCCAAAACCTTTGTAGGAACTCTTTTCCAACCTTTTGGAGTTAGTTAGACCAAAAAAAAAAAAATGAAAAATGAAAAAAAAATATTTGGGGTGTTCGGGCTTCCTTATTAGTATTAGGTTATGGGGCTTTGGAAAGGTTTAAGGTTTTTGGTGTTAGGGTTAAAATCACAGTCCAAAACCTTTGTAGGAACATGTTTCAGACCTTTGGAGTTTGTTACAAAAAAAAAATGTAAAATGAAAAAAAAATATTTGGGGTGTTCGGGCTTCCTGAAAGTAATACCCGGGTATTAGGTTTTGGGGCTATAGTAAGGTTTAAGGTTTTTGGCGTTAGGGTTAAAATCACTGTCCAAAACCTTTGTAGGAACTCTTTTCCAACCTTTTGGAGTTAGTTAGACCAAAAAAAAACAAAAAATGAAAAAAAATATTTGGGGTTTTCGGGCTTCCTGAAGGTAATACCCGGGTATTAGGTTTTGGGGCTAGGGTAAGGTTGAAGGTTTTTGGCGTTAGGGTTAAAATCACTGTCCAAAAACTTTTTAGGAACATGTTTCAGACCTTTTGGAGTTAGTTTGACTAAAAAATAACGAAAAATGAAAAAAAAATATTTGGGGTGTTCGGGCTTCCTGAAGGTAATACCCTGGTATTAGGTTATGGGGCTAGGGTAAGGTTTAAGGTTTTTGGCGTTAGGGTTAAAATCAATGTCCAAAACCTTTGTAGGAACTCTTGTCCAACCTTTTGGAGTTAGTTAGACAAAAAAAAAAGAAAAAGAAAAAAATAATTGGGGGTTTTACGGGCTTCCTGAAGGTAATACCCGGGTATTAGGTTATGGGGCGTGGGAAAGGTTTAAGGTTTTTGGCGTTAGAGATAAAATCAGTGTCCAAAACCTTTTTAGGAACTCGTTTCCAACCTTTTGGAGTTAGACCAAAAAAAAATGAAAAATGAGAAATTATATTTGGATTGTTTGGGCTTCCTGACGGTAATTCCCGGGTATTAGGTTATGGGGCTAGGGTAAGGTTTAAGGTTTTTGGCGTGAGGGTTAAAATCACTGTCCAAAACCTTTGTAGGAACTCTTTTCCAACGTTTTGGAGTTAGTTAGACCAAAAAAAAAGGAAAAATGAAAAAAAAATATTTGGGGTGTTTGGGCTTCCTGAAGGTAATACCCGGGTATTAGGTTATGGGGCTTTGGAAAGGTTTAAGGTTTTTGGCATTAGGTTATGGGGCTTTGGAAAGGTTTAAGGTTTTTGGCGTTAGGGTTAAAATCACTGTCCAAAACCTTTGTAGGAACTCTTTTCCAACCTTTTGGAGTTAGTTAGACCAAAAAAAAAATGATTAATTAAAAAAAATATATTTGGGGTGTTCGGGCTTCCTTATTAGTATTAGTTTATGGGGCTTTGGAAAGGTTTAAGGTTTTTGGCATTAGGGTTAAAATCACTGTCCAAAACCTTTGTAGGAACTCTTTTCCAACCTTTTGAAGTTAGTTAGACCAAAAAAAAAAAAGGAAAAAGGAAAAAAAAATTGGGGGTTTTCGGGCTTCCTGAAGGTAATACCCGGGTATTAGGTTTTGGGGCTAGGGTAAGGTTTAAGGTTTTTGGCTTTAGGGTTAAAATCAGTGTCCAAAACCTTTGTAGGAACATGTTTCAGACCTTTTGGAGTTAGTTAGACCAAAAAAAAAAGAAAAATGGACAAAAAAATATTTGGGGTGTTTCGGCTTCCTGAAGGTAATACCCGGGTATTAGATTTTGGGGCTATGGTAAGGTTTAAGGTTTTTGGCATTAGGGTTAAAATCACTGTCCAAAACCTTTGTAGGAACTCTGTTCCAACCTTTTGGAGTTAGTTAGACCAAAAAAAAATGAAAAATGAAAAAAACATATTTGGAGTGTTTGGGCTTCCTGAAGGTAATACCCGGGTATTAGGTTATGGGGCTTTGGAAAGGTTTAAGGTTTTTGGCGTTAGGGTTAAAATCACTGTCCAAAACCTTTGTAGGAACTTTATTCCAACCTTTTGGATTTAGTTGGACCAAAAAAAAAAAAGAAAAAAAAAAATTTTGGGTGTTTGGGCTTCCTGAAGGTAATACCCCGGTGTTGGGTTTTGGGGCTAGGGTAAGGTTTAAGGTTTTTGGCGTTAGGGTTAAAATCACTGTCCAAATCCTTTGTAGGAACTCTTTTCCAACCTTTTGGAGTTAGTAAGACCAAAAAAAAACGAAAAATGGAAAAAAAAATATTTGGGGTCTTCGGGCTTCCTGAAGGTAATACCCGGGTATTAGGTTTTGGGGCTAGGGTAAGGTTTAAGGTTTTTGGCGTTAGGGTTAAAAGCACTGTCCAAAACCTTTGTAGGAACTCTTTACCAACCTTTTGGAGTTAGCTAGACCAAAAAAAAAAATGAAAAATGAAAAAAAAATATTTGGGGACCCAGGCTTCCTGAAGGTAATACCCTGGTACTAGATTTTTGGGCTAGGGTAAGGTTTAAGGTTTTTGGTGTTAGGGTTAAATCACTGTCCAAAACCTTTGTAAGAACTCTTTTCCAACGTTTTGGAGTTAGTTAGTCCAAAAAAAAATGAAAAATGAAAAAAAATATTTGGGGTGTTCGGGCTTCCTTATTAGTATTAGGTTATGGGGCTTTGGAAAGGTTTAAGGTTTTTGGCGTTATGGTTAAAATCACTGTCCAAAACCTTTGTAGGAACATGTTTCAGACCTTTTGGAGTTGGTTACACAAAAAAAATGTAAAATGAAAAAAAATATTTGGGGTGTTCGGGCTTCCTGAAGGTAATACCCTGGTATTAGGTTATGGGGCTATGGTAAGGTTTAAGGTTTTTGGCGTTAGAGTTAAAATCAGTGTCCAAAACCTTTTTGGAACATGTTTCAGACCTTTGGGAAGTAGTTAGACCAAAAAAAAACGAAAAATGAAAAAAAAATATTTGGGGTGTTCGGGCTTCCTGAAGGTAATACCCGGGTATTAGGTTTTGGGGCTAGGGTAAGGTTTAAGTTTTTTCGCGTTAGGGTCAAAATCACTGTCCAAAACCTTTGTAGGAACTCTTTTCCAACCTTTCGGAGTTAGTTAGACCAAAAAAAAATGAAAAATGAAAAAAAAATATTTGGGGTTTTCGGGCTTCCTGAAGGTAATACCCGGTAAGGTAATACCCTAGGTTATGGGGCTAGGGTAAGGTTTAAGGTTTTTGGCGTTAGAGTTAAAATTACTGTCCAAAACCTTTGTAAGAACTCTTTTCCAACCTTTTGGAGTTGGTTACACCAAAAAAAAATGAAAAATGAAAAAAAAAATATTTGGGGTGTTCGGGCTTCCTTATTAGTATTAGGTTATGGGGCTTTGGAAAGGTTTAAGGTTTTTGGTGTTAGGGTTAAAATCACAGTCCAAAACCTTTGTAGGAACATGTTTCAGACCTTTGGGAATTAGTTAGACCAAAAAAAAACCAAAAATGAAAAAAAAATATTTGGGGTTTTCGGGCTTCCTGAAGGTAATACCCGGGTATTAGGTTTTGGGGCTAGGGTAAGGTTTAAGGTTTTTGGCGTTAGGGTTAAAATCACTGTCCAAAACCTTTGTAGGAACTCTTTTCCAACCTTTTGGAGTTAGTTAGACCAAAAAAAAAAATGAAAAATGAAAAAAAAATATTTGGGGACCCAGGCTTCCTGAAGGTAATACCCTGGTACTAGATTTTTGGGCTAGGGTAAGGTTTAAGGTTTTTGGTGTTAGGGTTAAATCACTGTCCAAAACCTTTGTAAGAACTCTTTTCCAACGTTTTGGAGTTAGTTAGTCCAAAAAAAAATGAAAAATGAAAAAAAAATATTTGGGGTTTTCGGGCTTCCTGAAGGTAATACCCGGTAAGGTAATACCCTAGGTTATGGGGCTAGGGTAAGGTTTAAGGTTTTTGGCGTTAGAGTTAAAATTACTGTCCAAAACCTTTGTAAGAACTCTTTTCCAACCTTTTGGAGTTAGTTAGTCCAAAAAAAAATGAAAAATGAAAAAAAAATATTTGGGGTCTTCGGGCTTCCTTATTAGTATTAGGTTATGGGGCTTTGGAAAGTTTTAAGGTTTTTGGCGTTAGAGTTAAAATCAGTGTCCAAAACCTTTTTAGGAACATGTTTCAGACCTTTTGGAGTTTGTTACACAAAAAAAAATGTAAAATGAAAAAAAAATATTTGGGGTGTTCGGGCTTCCTGAAGGTAATACCCTGTGTTACGCCCCAGTCTAGGGGTGTCTAGGGCACAACATGAGAAGGCCTCATCTTCCCCAAGTCCCAAGTAGCCACAACAACCGAGATTCAGTTCAATTTAAGGACACAGATTTATTTACATAAATCAATAAATAACAAACTGTGGCACACACCTATTTGCATACAAGATTGACACAAGAAAAAACAGGGCACACACACACACACAGCAGACAGTCCACAAATTATGACCACAGTCATAACACCTGGTATTAGGTTATGGGGCTATGGTAAGGTTTAAGGTTTTTGGCGTTAGAGTTAAAATCAGTGTCCAAAACCTTTTTAGGAACATGTTTCAGACCTTTTGGAATTAGTAAGACCAAAAAAAAACCAAAAATGAAAAAAAAATATTTGGGGTTTTCGGGCTCCCTGAAGGTAATACCCGGGTATTAGGTTTTGGGGCTAGGGTAAGGTTTAAGGTTTTTGGCGTTAGGGTTAAAATCACTGTCCAAAACCTTTGTAGGAACTCTTTTCCAACCTTTTGGAGTTAGTTAGACCAAAAAAAAACCAAAAATGAAAAAAAAATATTTGGGGTCTTCGGGCTTCCTGAAGGTAATACCCGGGTATTGGGTTTTGGGGCTAGGGTAAAGTTAAAGGTTTTTGGCGTTAGGGTTAAAATCACTGTCCAAAACGTTTATAGGAACTCTTTTCCAATCTTTTGGATTTAGTTTGACCAAAAAAAAAAAAGAAAAAGAAAAAAAAAATATTTGGGGTGTTCTGGCTTCCTGAAGGTAAAACCCGGGTATTAGGTTATGGGGCTATAATAATGTTTAAGGTTTTTGGCGTGAGGGTTAAAATCAGTGTCCAAAACCATTGTAGGAACTCTTTTCCAACCATTTGGAGTTAGTTAGACCAAAAAAAAAAAGAAAAAAGAAAAAAAAAACTTTGGGGTTTTCGGGCTTCCTGAAGGTAATACCTGGGTATTAGGTTATGGGGCTAGGGTAAGGTTTAAGGTTTTTGGCGTTAGGGTTAAAATCACTGTCCAAAACCTTTGTAGGAACTCTTTTCCAACCTTTTGGAGTTAGTTAGACCAAAAATAATGAAAAATGAAAAAAATATATTTGGGGTCTTCGGGCTTCCTGAAGGTAATACCCAGGTATTGGGTTTTGGGGCTAGGGTAAGGTTTAAGGTTTCTGGCGTTAGGGTTAAAATCACTGTCCAAAACCTTTGTAGGAACTCTTTTCCAACCTTTTGGAGTTAGTTAGACCAAAAAAAAATGATTAATTGAAAAAAAAATATTTGGGGTGTTCGGGCTTCCTTATTAGTATTAGTTTATGGGGCTTTGGAAAGGTTTAAGGTTTTTGGCATTAGGGTTAAAATCAGTGTCCAAAACCTTTGTAGGAACTCTTTTCCAACCTTTTGGAGTTAGTTAGACCAAAAAAAAAAATGAAAAAGGAAAAAAGAATTGGGGGTTTTCGGGCTTCCTGATGGTAATAGTATTAGGTTATGGGGCTATGGTAAGGTTTAAGGTTTTTGGCGTTAGGGTTAAAATCACTGTCCAAAACCTTTGCAGGAACTCTTTTCCAACCTTTTGGAGTTAGTTAGTCCAAAAAAAAATGAAAAATGAAAAAAAAATATTTGGGGTCTCCGGGCTTCCTTATTAGTATTAGGTTATGGGGCTTTGGAAAGTTTTAAGGTTTTTGGCGTTAGAGTTAAAATCAGTGTCCAAAACCTTTTAGGAACATGTTTCAGACCTTTTGGAATTAGTAAGACCAAAAAAAAACCAAAAATGAAAAAAAAATATTTGGGGTGTTCGGGCTTCCTGAAGGTAATACCCGGGTATTAGGTTTTGGGGCTAGGGTAAGGTTTAAGGTTTTTGGCGTTAGGGTTAAAATCACTGTCCAAAACCTTTGTAGGAACTCTTTTCCAACCTTTTGGAGTTAGCTAGACCAAAAAAAAATGAAAAATGAAAAAAAAATATTTGGGGACCCAGGCTTCCTGAAGGTAATACCCTGGTACTAGATTTTTGGGCTAGGGTAAGGTTTAAGGTTTTTGGTGTTAGGGTTAAATCACTGTCCAAAACCTTTGTAAGAACTCTTTTCCAACGTTTTGGAGTTAGTTAGTCCAAAAAAAAATGAAAAATGAAAAAAAAATATTTGGGGTTTTCGGGCTTCCTGAAGGTAATACCCGGTAAGGTAATACCCTAGGTTATGGGGCTAGGGTAAGGTTTAAGGTTTTTGGCGTTAGAGTTAAAATTACTGTCCAAAACCTTTGTAAGAACTCTTTTCCAACCTTTTGGAGTTAGTTAGTCCAAAAAAAAATGAAAAATGAAAAAAAAATATTTGGGGTCTTCGGGCTTCCTTATTAGTATTAGGTTATGGGGCTTTGGAAAGTTTTAAGGTTTTTGGCGTTAGAGTTAAAATCAGTGTCCAAAACCTTTTTAGGAACATGTTTCAGACCTTTTGGAGTTTGTTACACAAAAAAAAATGTAAAATGAAAAAAAAATATTTGGGGTGTTCGGGCTTCCTGAAGGTAATACCCTGTGTTACGCCCCAGTCTAGGGGTGTCTAGGGCACAACATGAGAAGGCCTCATCTTCCCCAAGTCCCAAGTAGCCACAACAACCGAGATTCAGTTCAATTTAAGGACACAGATTTATTTACATAAATCAATAAATAACAAAAAGATATAGACAAAAAACTAAGGCTGAAGGACTAGGCTTCAGGGTGGACTAAGTCCAAAACAACAACCAAAAATGATCCTGTCTGTGGTGTAAGTCCTTACCTAACCAAAACAAAGGAAACAAATGACAAAGACTTACCTCCCTAACTAAAATACACAGGAGAAAATAAGGTTAACAAAACTGGCAGTCCACCCCTACTACTAAAGAAAAACACAACACAATACACCATGTTCTAAAGCTGCAAATAGGGTGGCCTGTTGGGAGAGGAGGAGGATGAGGAATGCCTGGCCTCTGCACCTGGTGGCTGCCATCTTGGTTCCTGATATAGTTGGTCTCAGCCAATCACCATCCAGAACGTAGACCAACCCACCAATGACCGCGTTGCTGTGGCACACACCTATTTGCATACAAGATTGACACAAGAAAAAACAGGGCACACACACACACACAGCAGACAGTCCACAAATTATGACCACAGTCATAACACCTGGTATTAGGTTATGGGGCTATGGTAAGGTTTAAGGTTTTTGGCGTTAGAGTTAAAATCAGTGTCCAAAACCTTTTTAGGAACATGTTTCAGACCTTTTGGAATTAGTAAGACCAAAAAAAAACCAAAAATGAAAAAAAAATATTTGGGGTTTTCGGGCTCCCTGAAGGTAATACCCGGGTATTAGGTTTTGGGGCTAGGGTAAGGTTTAAGGTTTTTGGCGTTAGGGTTAAAATCACTGTCCAAAACCTTTGTAGGAACTCTTTTCCAACCTTTTGGAGTTAGTTAGACCAAAAAAAAACCAAAAATGAAAAAAAAATATTTGGGGTCTTCGGGCTTCCTGAAGGTAATACCCGGGTATTGGGTTTTGGGGCTAGGGTAAAGGTTTAAAGGTTTTTGGCGTTAGGGTTAAAATCACTGTCCAAAACGTTTATAGGAACTCTTTTCCAATCTTTTGGATTTAGTTTGACCAAAAAAAAAAAAAGAAAAAGAAAAAAAAAATATTTGGGGTGTTCTGGCTTCCTGAAGGTAAAACCCGGGTATTAGGTTATGGGGCTATAATAATGTTTAAGGTTTTTGGCGTGAGGGTTAAAATCAGTGTCCAAAACCATTGTAGGAACTCTTTTCCAACCATTTGGAGTTAGTTAGACCAAAAAAAAAAGAAAAAAGAAAAAAAAATATTTGGGGTTTTCGGGCTTCCTGAAGGTAATACCTGGGTATTAGGTTATGGGGCTAGGGTAAGGTTTAAGGTTTTTGGCGTTAGGGTTAAAATCACTGTCCAAAACCTTTGTAGGAACTCTTTTCCAACCTTTTGGAGTTAGTTAGACCAAAAATAATGAAAAATGAAAAAAAAATATTTGGGGTCTTCGGGCTTCCTGAAGGTAATACCCAGGTATTGGGTTTTGGGGCTAGGGTAAGGTTTAAGGTTTCTGGCGTTAGGGTTAAAATCACTGTCCAAAACCTTTGTAGGAACTCTTTTCCAACCTTTTGGAGTTAGTTAGACCAAAAAAAAATGATTAATTGAAAAAAAAATATTTGGGGTGTTCGGGCTTCCTTATTAGTATTAGTTTATGGGGCTTTGGAAAGGTTTAAGGTTTTTGGCATTAGGGTTAAAATCAGTGTCCAAAACCTTTGTAGGAACTCTTTTCCAACCTTTTGGAGTTAGTTAGACCAAAAAAAAAAATGAAAAAGGAAAAAAGAATTGGGGGTTTTCGGGCTTCCTGATGGTAATAGTATTAGGTTATGGGGCTATGGTAAGGTTTAAGGTTTTTGGCGTTAGGGTTAAAATCACTGTCCAAAACCTTTGCAGGAACTCTTTTCCAACCTTTTGGAGTTAGTTAGACCAAAAAAAATGAAAAATGAAAAAAAAATATTTGGGGTGTTCGGGCTTCCTGAAGGTAATACCCGGGTATTAGGTTTTGGGGCTAGGGTAAGGTTTAAGGTTTTTGGCGTTAGGGTTAAAATCACTGTCCAAAACTTTTGTAGGAACTCTGTTCCAACCTTTTGGAGTTAGTTAGACTAAAAAAAAAAAAAAAAATGAAAAAAAAATATTTGGGGTCTTCGGGCTTCCTGAAGGTAATACCCAGGTATTGGGTTTTGGGGCTAGGGTAAGGTTTAAGGTTTCTGGCGTTAGGGTTAAAATCACTGTCCAAAACCTTTGTAGGAACTCTTTTCCAACCTTTTGGAGTTAGTTAGACGAAAAAAAAATGAAAAATGAAAAAAAAATATTTGGGGTGTTCTGGCTTCCTGAAGGTAATACCCGGGTATTAGGTTATGGGGCTATAATAAGGTTTAAGGTTTTTGGCGTGAGGGTTAAAATCAGTGTCCAAAACCATTGTAGGAACTCTTTTCCAACCTTTTGGAGTTAGTTAGACCAAAAAAAATGAAAAATGAAAAAAAAATATTTGGGGTGTTCGGGCTTCCTGAAGGTAATACCCAGGTATTGGGTTTTGGGGCTAGGGTAAGGTTTAAGGTTTCTGGCGTTAGGGTTAAAATCACTGTCCAAAACCTTTGTAGGAACTCTTTTCCAACCTTTTGGAGTTAGTTAGACCAAAAAAAAATGATTAATTGAAAAAAAAATATTTGGGGTGTTCGGGCTTCCTTATTAGTATTAGTTTATGGGGCTTTGGAAAGGTTTAAGGTTTTTGGCATTAGGGTTAAAATCACTGTCCAAAACCTTTGTAGGAACTCTTTTCCAACCTTTTGGAGTTAGTTAGACCAAAAAAAAATGATTAATTGAAAAATAAATATTTGGGGTGTTCGGGCTTCCTTATTAGTATTAGTTTATGGGGCTTTGGAAAGGTTTAAGGTTTTTGGCATTAGGGTTTAAATCACTGTCCAAAACCTTTGTAGGAACTCTTTTCCAACCTTTTGGAGTTAGTTAGACCAAAAAAAAATGATTAATTGAAAAATAAATATTTGGGGTGTTCGGGCTTCCTTATTAGTATTAGTTTATGGGGCTTTGGAAAGGTTTAAGGTTTTTGGCATTAGGGTTAAAATCACTGTCCAAAACCTTTGTAGGAACTCTTTTCCAACCTTTTGGAGTTAGTTAGACCAAAAAAAAAATGAAAAAGGAAAAAAAAATTTTGGGGGTTTTCGGGCTTCCTGAAGGGAATACCCGGGTATTAGGTTATGGGGCTATGGTAAGGTTTAAGGTTTTTGGCTTTAGGGTTAAAATCACTGTCCAAAACCTTTGCAGGAACTCTTTTCCAACCTTTTGGAGTTAGTTAGACCAAAAAAAATGAAAAATGAAAAAAAAATATTTGGGGTGTTCGGGCTTCCTGAAGGTAATACCCGGGTATTAGGTTTTGGGGCTAGGTTAAGGTTTAAGGTTTTTGGCGTTAGGGTTAAAATCACTGTCCAAAACCTTTGTAGGAACTCTTTTCCAACCTTTTGGAGTTAGTTTGACCAAAAAAAAAATGAAAAATGAAAAAAAAATATTTGGGGTGTTCGGGCTTCCTGAAGGTAATACCCGGGTATTAGGTTATGGGGCTAGGGTAAGGTTTAAGGTTTTTGCCGTGAGGGTTAAAATCAGTGTCCAAAACCTTTGTAGGAACTCTTTTCCAACCTTTTGGATTTAGTTTGACCAAAAAAAAAAAATGAAAAAAAAAATATTTGGGGTGTTCGGGCTTCCTGAAGGTAATACCCGGGTATTAGGTTATGGGGCTAGGGTAAGGTTTAAGGTTTTTGGCGTGAGGGTTAAAATCACTGTCCAAAACCTTTGTAGGAACTCTTTTCCAACCTTTTGGAGTTAGCTAGACCAAAAAAAAAAAAATGAAAAATGAAAAAAATATATATTTGGGGTGTTCGGGCTTCCTTATTAGTATTAGGTTATGGGGCTTTGGAAAGGTTTAAGGTTTTTGGTGTTAGGGTTAAAATTACAGTCCAAAACCTTTGTAGGAACATGTTTCAGACCTTTTGGAGTTGGTTACACAAAAAAAAATGTAAAATGAAAAAAAAAATATTTGGGGTGTTCGGGCTTCCTGAAGGTAATACCCTGGTATTAGGTTATGGGGCTATGGTAAGGTTTAAGGTTTTTGGCGTTAGAGTTAAAATCAGTGTCCAAAACCTTTTTGGAACATGTTTCAGACCTTTGGGAATAAGTTAGACCAAAAAAAAATGAAAAATGAAAAAAAAATATTTGGGGTTTTCGGTCTTCCTGAAGGTAATACCCAGGTATTAGGTTTTGGGGCTAGGGTAAGGTTTAAGGTTTTTGGCGTTAGGGTTAAAATCAATGTCCAAAACCTTTGTAGGAACTCTTTTCCAACCTTTTGGAGTTAGTTAGACCAAAAAAAAATGAAAAATGAAAAAAAAATATTTGGGGTCTTCGGGCTTCCTGAAGGTAATACCCGGGTATTGGGTTTTTGGGCTAGGGTAAGGTTTAAGGTTTTTGGCGTTAGGGTTAAAATTGATGTCCAAAACCTCTTTAGAGACATGTTTCAGACCTTTTGGAGTTGGTTACACCAAAAAAAAAAGAAAAATGAAAAAGGAATATTTGGGGTGTTCGGGCTTCCTAAAAGTAATACCCGGGTATTAGGTTTTGGGGCTAGGGTAAGGTTTAAGGTATTTGGCGTAGGGTTAAAATCACAGTCCAAAACCTTTGTAGGAACATGTTTCAGACCTTTTGGAGTTGGTTACACAAAAAAAATGTAAAATGAAAAAAAAAATATTTGGGGTGTTCGGGCTTCCTGAAGGTAATACCCTGGTATTAGGTTATGGGGCTATGGTAAGGTTTAAGGTTTTTGGCGTTAGAGTTAAAATCAGTGTCCAAAACCTTTTTGGAACATGTTTCAGACCTTTGGGAATAAGTTAGACCAAAAAAAATGAAAAATGAAAAAAAAATATTTGGGGTTTTCGGTCTTCCTGAAGGTAATACCCAGGTATTAGGTTTTGGGGCTAGGGTAAGGTTTAAGGTTTTTGGCGTTAGGGTTAAAATCACTGTCCAAAACCTTTGTAGGAACTCTTTTCCAACCTTTTGGAGTTAGTTAGACCAAAAAAAAATGAAAAATGAAAAAAAAAAATTTGGGGTCTTCGGGCTTCCTGAAGGTAATACCCGGGTATTGGGTTTTTGGGCTAGGGTAAGGTTTAAGGTTTTTGGCGTTAGGGTTAAAATTGATGTCCAAAACCTCTTTAGAGACATGCTTCAGACCTTTTGGAGTTGGTTACACCAAAAAAAAAAGAAAAATGAAAAAATAATATTTGGGGTGTTCGGGCTTCCTGAAAGTAATACCCGGGTATTAGGTTATGGGGCTATGGTAAGGTTCAAGGTTTTTGGCGTTAGGGTTAAAATCACTGTCCAAAAGCTTTTTAGGAACATGTTTCAGACCTTTTGGAGTTGGTTACACCAAAAAAAAATGTAAAATGAAAAAATATATATTTGGGGTGTTCGGGCTTCCTGAAGGTAATACCCGGGTATTAGGTTTTGGGGCTAGGGTAAGGTTTAAGGTATTTGGCGTAGGGTTAAAATCACTGTCCAAAACCTTTTTAGGAACCTGTTTCAGACCTTCTGGAGTTGGTTACACCAAAAAAAATGTAAAATGAAAAAAAGATATTTGGGGTGTTCGGGCTTCCTGAAGGTAATACCCGGGTATTAGTTCATGGGGCTATGGTAAGGTTTAAGGTTTTTGGCGTTAGAGTAAAAATCACTGTCCAAAACCTTTGTAGGAACTCTTTTCCAACCTTTTGGAGTTAGTTAGACCAAAAAAAATGTTAAATGAAAAAAAAATATTGGGGGTTTTTGGGCTTCCTGAAGGAAATACCCGGCTATTAGGTTATGGGGCTAGGGTAAGGTTTAAGGTTTTTGGCGTTAGGGTTAAAATTACTGTCCAAAACCTTTGTAGGAACTCTTTTCCAACCTTTTGGAGTTAGTTAGACCAAAAAAATAGAAATAAAAAATATATATTGGGGGTTTTTGGGCTTCCTGAAGGTAATACCCGGCTATTAGGTTATGGGGCTAGGGTAAGGTTTAAGGTTTTTGGCGTTAGGGTTAAAATTACTGTCCAAAACCTTTGAAGGAACTCTTTTCCAACCTTTTGGAGTTAGTTAGACAAGAAAAAAAAGAAAAAAGGAAAAAAAATATTTGGGGTGTTCTGGCTTCCTGAAGGTAATACCCAGGATTAGGTTTTGGGGCTAGGGTAAGGTTTAAGGTATTTGGCGTTAGGGTTAAAATCACTGTCCAAAACCTTTTTAGGAACATGTTTCAGACCTTATGGAGTTGGTTACACCAAAAAAAATGTAAAATGAAAAAAAGATATTTGGGGTGTTCGGGCTTCCTGAAGGTAATACCCGGGTATTAGGTCATGGGGTGTGGGTAAGGTTTAAGGTTTTTGGCGTTAGGGTTAAAATCACTGTCCAAAACCTTTGTAGGAACTCTTTTCATAACTTTTGGAGTTAGACCAAAAAAAAAAGAAAAAAGAAAAAAAAAATTGTTGGGGATTTCGCGCTTCCTGAAGGTAATACCCGGGTATTAGGTTATGGGGCTAGGGTATGGTTTAAGGTTTTTGGCGTTAGAGTTAAAATCAGTGTCCTAAACCTTTTTAGGAACATGTTTCAGACCTTTTGGAATTAGTTAGACCAAAAAATAACGAAAATTGAAAAAAAATATTTTGGGTCTTCGGGCTTCCTGAAGGTAATACCCGGGTATTAGGTTTTGGGGCTAGGGTAAGGTTTAAGGTTTTTGACGTTAGGGTTAAAATCACTGTCCAAAACCTTTGTAGGAACTCTTTTCCAACCTTTTGGAATGAGTTAGACCAAAAAAAAATGAAAAATGGAAAAAAAATATTTGGGGTGTTCGAGCTTCCTGAAGGTAATACACGGGTATTAGGTTTTGGGGCTTTGGAAACGTTTGAGTCTTTCGGCGTTAGGGTTAAAATCACTGTCCAAATCCTTTGTAGGAACTCTTTTCCAACCTTTTGGAGTTAGTAAGACCAAAAAAAATAAAAATAAAAAATATATATTTGGGGTGTTCGGGCTTCCTGAAGGTAATACCCGGGTATTAGGTTATGGGGCTAGGGTAAGGTTTAAGGTTTTTGGCGTTAGGGTTAAAATCACTGTCCAAAACCTTTGTAGGAACTCTTTTCCAACCTTTCAGGGTTAGTTAGACCAAAAAAAAACAAAAAATGATAAAAAAATATTTGGGGTCTTCGGGCTTCCTGAAGGTAATACCCGGGTATTAGGTTTTGGGGCTAGGGTAAGGTTAAAGGTTTTTGGCGTTAGGGTTAAAATCACTGTCCAAAACCTTTGTAGGAACTCTTTTCCAACCTTTTGGATTTAGTTTGACCAAAAAAAAAAAGAAAAATGAAAAAAAAATATATTTGGGGTGTTCTGGGCTTCCTGAAGGTAATACCCGGGTATTAGGTTATGGGGCTATAATAAGGTTTAAGGTTTTTGGCGTGAGGGTTAAAATCAGTGTCCAAAACCATTGTAGGAACTCTTTTCCAACCATTTGGAGTTAGTTAGACCAAAAAAAAAATGAAAAAGAAAAAAAAAACTTTGGGGTTTTCGGGCTTCCTGAAGGTAATACCCGGGTATTAGGTTATGGGGCTAGGGTAAGGTTTAAGGTTTTTGGCGTTAGGGTTAAAATCACTGTCCAAAACCTTTGTAGGAACTCTTTTCCAACCTTTTGGAGTTAGTTAGACCAAAAATAATGAAAAATGAAAAAAATATATTTGGGGTCTTCGGGCTTCCTGAAGGTAATACCCGGGTATTGGGTTTTGGGGCTAGGGTAAGGTTTAAGGTTTTTGGCGTTAGGGTTAAAATCACTGTCCAAAACCTTTGTAGGAACTCTTTTCCAACCTTTTGGAGTTAGTTAGACCAAAAAAAATGATTAATTAAAAAAAAAAATATTTGGGGTGTTCGGGCTTCCTTATTAGTATTAGTTTATGGGGCTTTGGAAAGGTTTAAGGTTTTTGGCGTTAGGGTTAAAATCACTGTCCAAAACCTTTGTAGGAACTCTTTTCCAACCTTTTGGAGTTAGTTAGACCAAAAAAAAAAATGAAAAAGGAAAAAAAAATTGGGGGTTTTCGGGCTTCCTGATGGTAATAGTATTAGGTTATGGGGCTATGGTAAGGTTTAAGGTTTTTGGCGTTAGGGTTAAAATCACTGTCCAAAACCTTTGTAGGAACTCTTTTCCAACCTTTTGGAGATAGTTAGACCAAAAAAAATGAAAAATGAAAAAAAAATATTTGGGGTGTTCGGGCTTCCTGAAGGTAATACCCGGGTATTAGGTTTTGGGGCTAGGGTAAGGTTTAAGGTTTTTGGCGTTAGGGTTAAAATCACTGTCCAAAACCTTTGTAGGAACTCTGTTCCAACCTTTTGGAGTTAGTTAGACTAAAAAAAAAAAAAAAAATGAAAAAAAAATATTTGGGGTCTTCGGGCTTCCTGAAGGTAATACCCAGGTATTGGGTTTTGGGGCTAGGGTAAGGTTTAAGGTTTCTGGCGTTAGGGTTAAAATCACTGTCCAAAACCTTTGTAGGAACTCTTTTCCAACCTTTTGGAGTTAGTTAGACCAAAAAAAAATGATTAATTGAAAAAAAAATATTTGGGGTGTTCTGGCTTCCTGAAGGTAATACCCGGGTATTAGGTTATGGGGCTATAATAAGGTTTAAGGTTTCTGGCGTAAGGGTTAAAATCACTGTCCAAAACCTTTGTAGGAACTCTTTTCCAACCATTTGGAGTTAGTTAGACCAAAAAAAATGAAAAATGAAAAAAAAATATTTGGGGTGTTCGGACTTCCTGAAGGTAATACCCAGGTATTGGGTTTTGGGGCTAGGGTAAGGTTTAAGGTTTCTGGTGTTAGGGTTAAAATCACTGTCCAAAACCTTTGTAGGAACTCTGTTCCAACCTTTTGGAGTTAGTTAGACCAAAAAAAAATGATTAATTGAAAAAAAAATATTTGGGGTGTTCGGGCTTCCTTATTAGTATTAGTTTATGGGGCTTTGGAAAGGTTTAAGGTTTTTGGCGTGAGGGTTAAAATCACTGTCCAAAACCTTTGTAGGAACTCTTTTCCAACCTTTTGGAGTTAATTAGACCAAAAAAAATGATTAATTGAAAAATAAATATTTGGGGTGTTCGGGCTTCCTTATTAGTATTAGGTTATGGGGCTAGGGTAAGGTTTAAGGTTTTTGGCGTTAGGGTTAAAATCACTGTCCAAAACCTTTGTAGGAACTCTTTTCCAACCTTTTGGAGTTAGTTAGACCAAAAAAAAATTAAAAATGAAAAAAAAATATTTGGGGTGTTCGGGCTTCCTGAAGGTAATACCCGGGTATTAGGTTTTGGGGCTAGGGTAAGGTTTAACGTTTTTGGCGTGAGGGTTAAAATCAGTGTCCAAAACCTTTGTAGGAACTCTTTTCCAACCATTTGGAGTTAGTTAGACCAAAAAAAATGAAAAATGAAAAAAAAATATTTGGGGTGTTCGGGCTTCCTGAAGGTAATACCCGGGTATTAGGTTTTGGGGCTAGGGTAAGGTTTAAGGTTTTTGGCGTAAGGGTTAAAATCACTGTCCAAAACCTTTTTAGGAACATGTTTCAGACCTTTTGGAATTAGTTAGACCAAAAAATAACGAAAAATGAAAAAAAAATATTTGGGGTGTTCGGGCTTCCTGAAGGTAATACCCCGGTATTAGGTTTTGGGGCTAGGGTAAGGTTTAAGGTTTTTGGCGTTAGGGTTAAAATCACTGTCCAAAACCTTTGTAGGAACTCTTTTCCAACATTTTGGAATTAGTTAGACCAAAAAAAAAAGATTAATTGAAAAATAAATATTTGGGGTGTTCGGGCTTCCTTATTAGTATTAGTTTATGGGGCTTTGGAAAGGTTTAAGGTTTTTGGCATTAGGGTTTAAATCACTGTCCAAAACCTTTGTAGGAACTCTTTTCCAACCTTTTGGAGTTAGTTAGACCAAAAAAAAATGATTAATTGAAAAATAAATATTTGGGGTGTTCGGGCTTCCTTATTAGTATTAGTTTATGGGGCTTTGGAAAGGTTTAAGGTTTTTGGCATTAGGGTTAAAATCACTGTCCAAAACCTTTGTAGGAACTCTTTTCCAACCTTTTGGAGTTAGTTAGACCAAAAAAAAAAATGAAAAAGGAAAAAAAAATTGGGGGTTTTCGGGCTTCCTGATGGTAATAGTATTAGGTTATGGGGCTATGGTAAGGTTTAAGGTTTTTGGCGTTAGGGTTAAAATCACTGTCCAAAACCTTTGCAGGAACTCTTTTCCAACCTTTTGGAGTTAGTTAGACCAAAAAAAATGAAAAATGAAAAAAAAATATTTGGGGTGTTCGGGCTTCCTGAAGGTAATACCCGGGTATTAGGTTTTGGGGCTAGGGTAAGGTTTAAGGTTTTTGGCGTTAGGGTTAAAATCACTGTCCAAAACCTTTAAAAGAACTCTTTTCCAACCTTTTGGATTTAGTTTGACCAAAAAAAAAAAATGAAAAATGAAAAAAAAATATTTGGGGTGTTCGGGCTTCCTGAAGGTAATACCCGGGTATTAGGTTATGGGGCTAGGGTAAGGTTTAAGGTTTTTGCCGTGAGGGTTAAAATCAGTGTCCAAAACCTTTGTAGGAACTCTTTTCCAACCTTTTGGATTTAGTTTGACCAAAAAAAAAAAAATGAAAAATGAAAAAAAAATATTTGGGGTGTTCGGGCTTCCTGAAGGTAATACCCGGGTATTAGGTTATGGGGCTAGGGTAAGGTTTAAGATTTTTGCCGTGAGGGTTAAAATCAGTGTCCAAAACCTTTGTAGGAACTCTTTTCCAACCTTTTGGAGTTAGCTAGACCAAAAAAAAAAAATGAAAAATGAAAAAAAAATATTTGGGGTGTTCGGGCTTCCTTATTAGTATTAGGTTATGGGGCTTTGGAAAGGTTTAAGGTTTTTGGTGTTAGGGTTAAAATCACAGTCCAAAACCTTTGTAGGAACATGTTTCAGACCTTTTGGAGTTGGTTACACAAAAAAAAATGTAAAATGAAAAAAAAAATATTTGGGGTGTTCGGGCTTCCTGAAGGTAATACCCTGGTATTAGGTTATGGGGCTATGGTAAGGTTTAAGGTTTTTGGCGTTAGAGTTAAAATCAGTGTCCAAAACCTTTTTTGGAACATGTTTCAGACCTTTGGGAATAAGTTAGACCAAAAAAAAATGAAAAATGAAAAAAAAATATTTGGGGTTTTCGGTCTTCCTGAAGGTAATACCCAGGTATTAGGTTTTGGGGCTAGGGTAAGGTTTAAGGTTTTTGGCGTTAGGGTTAAAATCAATGTCCAAAACCTTTGTAGGAACTCTTTTCCAACCTTTTGGAGTTAGTTAGACCACAAAATAATGTAAAATGAAAAAAAATATATTTGGGGTCTTCGGGCTTCCTGAAGGTAATACCCGGGTATTAGGTCATGGGGCTAGGGTAAGGTTTAAGGTTTTTGGCGTTAGGGTTAAAATTGACTGTCCAAAACCTTTTAGGAACTCTTTTCAGACCTTTTGGAGTTGGTTAGACCAAAAAAAAAAGAAAAATGAAAAAAGGAATATTTGGGGTGTTCGGGCTTCCTGAAGGTAATACCCGGGTATTAGGTTAATGGGGCTATGGTAAGGTTCAAGGTTTTTGGCGTTAGGGTTAAAATCACTGTCCAAAAGCTTTTTAGGAACATGTTTCAGACCTTTTGGAGTTGGTTACACCAAAAAAAAATGTAAAATGAAAAAATATATATTTGGGGTGTTCGGGCTTCCTGAAGGTAATACCCGGGTATTGGGTTTTGGGGCTAGGGTAAGGTTTAAGGTTTTTGGCGTTAGGGTTAAAATCACTGTCCAAAACCTTTGTAGGAACTCTGTTCCAACCTTTTTGAGTTATTTAGACCAAAAAAAAATGAAAAATGAAAAAAAAATATTTGGGGTGTTCAGGCTTCCTGAAGGTAATACCCGGGTATTAGGTTTTGGGGCTAGGGTAAGGTTTAAGGTTTTTGGCGTTAGGGTTAAAATCACAGTCCAAAACCTTTGTAGGAACATGTTTCAGACCTTTTGGAGTTGGTTACACAAAAAAAAATGTAAAATGAAAAAAAAAATATTTGGGGTGTTCGGGCTTCCTGAAGGTAATACCCTGGTATTAGGTTATGGGGCTATGGTAAGGTTTAAGGTTTTTGGCGTTAGGGTTAAAATCACTGTCCAAAACCTTTTAGGAACATGTTTCAGACCTTTTGGAGTTAAGTTAGACCAAAAAAAAATGAAAAATGAAAAAAAAATATTTGGGGTTTCGGCTTCCTGAAGGTAATACCCGGGTATTAGGTTTTGGGGCTAGGGTAAGGTTTAAGGTTTTTGGCGTTAGGGTTAAAATCAATGTCCAAAACCTTTGTAGGAACTCTTTTCCAACCTTTTGGAGTTAGTTAGACCAAAAAAAAATGAAAAATGAAAAAAAAATATTTGGGGTCTTCGGGCTTCCTGAAGGTAATACCCGGGTATTGGGTTATGGGGCTAGGGTAAGGTTTAAGGTTTTTGGCGTTAGGGTTAAAATCACTGTCCAAAACCTCTTTAGAGACATGTTTCAGACCTTTTGGAGTTGGTTACACCAAAAAAAAAAGAAAAATGAAAAAGGAATATTTGGGGTGTTCGGGCTTCCTGAAAGTAATACCCGGGTATTAGGTTTTGGGGCTAGGGTAAGGTTTAAGGTATTTGGCGTAGGGTTAAAATCACTGTCCAAAACCTTTTTAGGAACCTGTTTCAGACCTTCTGGAGTTGGTTACACCAAAAAAAATGTAAAATGAAAAAAAGATATTTGGGGTGTTCGGGCTTCCTGAAGGTAATACCCGGGTATTAGTTCATGGGGCTATGGTAAGGTTTAAGGTTTTTGGCGTTAGAGTAAAAATCACTGTCCAAAACCTTTGTAGGAACTCTTTTCCAACCTTTTGGAGTTAGTTAGACCAAAAAAAAAATGAAAAATGAAAAAAAAATATTGGGGGTTTTTGGGCTTCCTGAAGGTAATACCCGGGTATTAGGTTATGGGGCTAGGGTAAGGTTTAAGGTTTTTGGCGTTAGGGTTAAAATTACTGTCCAAAACCTTTGTAGGAACTCTTTTCCAACCTTTTGGAGTTAGTTAGACCAAAAAAATAGAAATAAAAAATATATATTGGGGGTTTTTGGGCTTCCTGAAGGTAATACCCGGCTATTAGGTTATGGGGCTAGGGTAAGGTTTAAGGTTTTTGGCGTTAGGGTTAAAATTACTGTCCAAAACCTTTGAAGGAACTCTTTTCCAACCTTTTGGAGTTAGTTAGACAAGAAAAAAAAGAAAAAAGGAAAAAAAATATTTGGGGTGTTCTGGCTTCCTGAAGGTAATACCCAGGTATTAGGTTATGGGGCTAGGGTAAGGTTTAAGGTTTTTGGCGTTAGGGTTAAAATCACTGTCCAAAACCTTTGTAGGAACTCTGTTTCCAACCTTTGGAGTTGGTTAGACCAAAAAAAATGAAAAATGAAAAAAAGATATTTGGGGTGTTCGGGCTTCCTGAAGGTAATACCCGGGTATTAGGTCATGGGGTGTGGGTAAGGTTTAAGGTTTTTGGCGTTAGGGTTAAAATCACTGTCCAAAATCTTTTTAGGAACATGTTTCAGACCTTTTGGAGTTAGTTAGACCAAAAAAAAAGAACAAAGAAAAAAATTAATTGGGGGTTTTCGGGCTTCCTGATGGTAATACCCGGGTATTAGGTTTTGGGGCTAGGGTAAGGTTTAAGGTATTTGGCGTTAGGGTTAAAATCACTGTCCGAAACCTTTGTAGGAACTCGTTTCCAACCTTTTGGAGTTAGACCAAAAAAAAATGAAAAATGAAAAATATATATTTGGGTTTTTTGGGCTTCCTGACGGTCATTCCCGGCTATTAGGTTATGGGGCTAGGGTAAGGTTTAAGGTTTTTGGCGTGAGGGTTAAAATCACTGTCCAAAACCTTTGTAGGAACTCTTTTCCAACCTTTTGGAGTTAGTTAGACCAAAAAAAAAGATAAAAGAAAAAAAAATAGTTGGGGATTTCGCGCTTCCTGAAGGTAATACCCGGGTATTAGGTTATGGGGCTATGGTAAGGTTTAAGGTTTTTGGCGTTAGGGTTAAAATCACTGTCCAAAACCTTTGTAGGAACTCTTTTCCAACCTTTTGGAGTTAGTTAGACCAAAAAAAAGAAAAATGAAAAAAAATATTTGGGGTTTTCGGGCTTCCTGAAGGTAATACCCGGGGTATTAGGTTTTGGGGCTAGGGTAAGGTTTAAGGTTTTTGGCGTTAGGGTTAAAATCACTGTCCAAAACCTTTGTAGGAACTCTTTTCCAACCTTTCGGAGTTAGTTAGACCAAAAAAAAACGAAAAATGAAAAAAAAATATTTGGGGTTTTCGGGCTTCCTGAAGGTAATACCCGGGTATTAGGTTATGGGGCTAGGGTAAGGTTTAAGGTTTTTGGCGTTAGGGTTAAAATCACTGTCCAAAACCTTTGTAGGAACTGTTTTCCAACCTTTTGGAGTAAGTTAGACCAAAAAAAAAGAAAAAAGAAAAAAGAAATGTGGGGTCTTAGGGCGTCCTGAAGGTAATACCTGGGTATGAGGTTATGGGGCTTTGGAGGTTTAAGGTTTTTGGCATTAAGGTTAAAATCACTGTCCAAAACCTTTGTAGGAACTCTTTTCCAACCTTTTGGAGTCATTTAGACCAAAAAAAAAAAAGAAAAAAGAAAAAAAAATATTTGGGGTTTTCGGGCTTCCTGAAGGTAATACCCGGGTATCAGGTTTTGGGGCTAGGGTAAGGTTTAAGGTTTTTGGCGTTAGGGTTAAAATCACTGTCAAACTTTGTAGGAATTCTTTTCCAACCTTTTGGAGTTAGTTAGACCAAAAAAAAATGATTAATTAAAAAACAGATATTTGGGGTGTTCGGGCTTCCTTATTAGTATTAGTTTATGGGGCTTTGGAAAGGTTTAAGGTTTTTGGCATTAGGGTTAAAATCACTGTCCAAAACCTTTGTAGGAACTCTTTTCCAACCTTTTGGAGTTAGTTAGACCAAAAAAAAACAAAAAATAATAATAAAATTTTTTTGGGGGTGGTAGGGCTTCCTGAAGGTAATACCCGGGTATTAGGTTTTGGGGCTAGGTAAGGTTTAAGGTTTTTGGCGTTAGGGTTAAAATCACTGTCCAAAACCTTTGTAGGAACTCTTTTCCAACCTTTTGGAGTTAGTTAGACCAAAAAAAATGAAAAATGAAAAAAAAATATTGGGGTTGTTCGGGCTTCCTGAAGGTAATACCGGGTATTAGGTTATGGGGCTAGGGTATGGTTTAAGGTTTTTGGCGTTAGGGTTAAAATCACTGTCCAAAACCTTTTTAGGAACTGTTTCAACCTTTTGGAGTTAGTTAGACCAAAAAAAAATGTAAAATGAAAAAAATATATAATTGGGGTGTTCGGGCTTCCTGAAGGTAATACCCGGGTATTAGGTTATGGGGCTATGGTAAGGTTTAAGGTTTTTTGCGTTTGGGTTAAGATCACTGTCCAAAACCTTTGTAGGAACTCGTTTCCAACCTTTTGGAGTTAGACCAAAAAAAAATGAAAAATGAAAAAAATATATTTGGGTTGTTTGTACTTCCTGACGGTCATTCCCGGGTATTAGGTTATGGGGCTAGGGTAAGGTTTAAGGTTTTTGGCGTGAGGGTTAAAATCACTGTCCAAAACCTTTGTAGGAACTCTTGTCCAACCTTTTGGAGTTAGTTAGACCAAAAAAAAGATAAAAGAAAAAAAAATAGTTGGGGATTTCGCGCTTCCTGAAGGTAATACCCGGGTATTAGGTTATGGGGCTATGGTAAGGTTTAAGGTTTTTGGTGTTAGGGTTAAAATCACTGTCCAAAACCTTTGTAGGAACTCTTTTCCAACCTTTTGGAGTTAGTTAGACAAGAAAAAAAGGAAAAATGAAAAAACAATATTTGTGGTTTTCGGGCTTTCTGAAGGTAATACCCGGGTATTAGGTTATGGGGCTATGGTAAGGTTTAAGGTTTTTGGCCTTAGGGTTAAAATCACTGTCCAAAACCTTTGTAGGAACTCTTTTCCAACCTTTTGGAGTTAGTTAGACCAAAAAAAATGAAAAATGAAAAAAAAATATTTGGGGTGTTCGGGCTTCCTGAAGGTAATACCTGGTTTAGGTTATGGGGCTAGGGTAAGGTTTAAGGTTTTTTGGCGTTAGGGTTAAAATCACTGTCCAAAACCTTTTTAGGAACTTGTTTCAACCTTTTGGAGTTGGTTTGACCAAAAAAAAGTAAAATGAAAAAAAAATATTTGGGGTGTTCAGGCTTCCTGAAGGTAATACCCGGGTATTAGGTTTTGGGGCTAGGGTAAGGTTTAAGGTTTTTGGCGTGAGGGTTAAAATCACTGTCCAAAACCTTTGTAGGAACTCTTTTCCAACCTTTTGGAGTTAGTTAGACCAAAAAAAAAAAAAAAGAAAAAAAAATATTGGGGTTTTCAGGCTTCCTGAAGGTAATACCTGGGTATTAGGTTATGGGGCTATGGTAAGGTTTAAGGTTTTTGGGTTAGGGTTAAAATCACTGTCCAAAACCTTTTAGGAACATGTTTCAGACCTTTTGGAGTTATTTAGACCAAAAAAAAAAGAAAAATGAAAAAAAAATATTTGGGGTGTTCGGGCTTCCTGAAGGTAATACCCGGGGTTAGGTTATGGGGCTAGGGTAAGGTTTAAGGTTTTTTGGCGTTAGGGTTAAAATCACTGTCCAAAACCTTTATAGGAACTCTTTTCCAACCTTTCGGAGTTAGTTGGACCAAAAAAAAATGTAAAATGAAAAAAAAATATTTGGGGTGTTCAGGCTTCCTGGGGCTAGGGTAAGGTTTAAGGTTTTTGGCGTGAGGGTTAAAATCACTGTCCAAAACCTTTGTAGGAACTCTTGTCCAACCTTTTGGAGTAAGTTAGACCAAAAAAAAAGATAAAAGAAAAAAAAATAGTTGGGGATTTCGCGCTTCCTGAAGGTAATACCCGGGTATTAGGTTATGGGGCTAGGGTAAGGTTTAAGGTTTTTGGCGTTAGGGTTAAAATCACTGTCCAAAACCTTTTAGGAACATGTTTCAGACCTTTTGGAGTTAGTTAGACCAAAAAAAAAGGAAAAATGAAAAAAAAATATTTGGGGTGTTCGGGCTTCCTGAAGGTAATACCCGGGTATTAGGTTTTGGGGCTAGGGTAAGGTTTAAGGTTTTTGGCGTTAGGGTTAAAATCACTGTCCAAAACCTTTTTAGGAACATGTTTCAGACCTTTTGGAGTTAGTTTGACTAAAAAACAAGAAAAATAAAAAATATATATTTGGGGTGTTCGGGCTTCCTGAAGGTAATACCCGGGTATTATGTTATGGGGCTAGGGTAAGGTTTAAGGTTTTTGGCGTTAGAGTTAAAATCAGTGTCCAAAACCTTTGTAGGAACATGTTTCAGACCTTTTGGAATTAGTTAGACCAAAAAATAACGAAAAATGAAAAAAAATATTTGGGGTGTTCGGGCTTCCTTTAGGTAATACCCGGGTATTAGGTTACAGGGCTAGGTAAAGGTTAAAGGTTTTTGGTGTTAGGGTTAAAATCACTGTCCAAAACCTTTTTAGGAACAAGTTTCAGACCTTTTGGAGTTAGTTAGACAAAAAAAACCCGAAAAATTAAAAAAAATTTTTGGGGGGTGTTAAGGCTTCCTTAAGGTAATACCCAGTTCGACCTGTCACATGTTCCCAGTCGAGTCTCTTAGCTCAATCTGCGTAATGTGTTGGTAGGAAGTTTAATGACTCAGCTCAATTTGTATGCTATGCTGTCTATCTTTTAGACTATGTGTTTGTAGAGCAATTATTTTTGGAGGTTCAGTTAGGGATTAGAGTTGGTATGGTTAAGTGTTAAAATAATAATAATAATAATAATGATAATAATAATAATAATAATAATAATAATAATAATAATTTTTCTTATTGAGAAGGACTAGGTGGTGTTAGTAGGGAGGGAATAGGGTGAATTTTATCTATAGGAGTAGGGTGCATTAGTGCAAAGTCTCAGAGGATGGGGGAGAGAGAAACAGGTTGTTGGGACTGCAACCATTCTGCTTCTACAGGGATTCGAGTGATAGAGAGAGAATAGAACTTGCCACAGTGACTAGCCAGAGAAACTCTCTTCACCTGGTGGTTTTCATCCTCTGATATGAAAAAAGAGGGTGGGGGTGACTAAGCTAAGATAGAGGTTAGTAAGGTTAGGGTTAGGGTTAGGGGTTAGGGTTAGATTTAGGGTTAGGGTTAGGGTTAGGGTTAGGGTTAGGGTAAGTGTTAGTGTCTGTAGGGAGCTAACCATGGCTATTTGGAAGAATTGAAATTCATTAAGGAATACGACACCAGATTGTCTAGACTCTGGACTCTGTTAAAGGTAGCAAAGCTATGGTTGGAAGTAATGAAATTGAAGTATAAAATATAAGGTTAGTTATAAATTGTTATTGATAAAGTATTATTTCAGAGTCAAAAGTGGACAGTTCCGTCTGGAACTCCTTCCACCCAGGCCTGTCTAGGCCATAGACTCTGCTAAACTCCCTAATGCTGTGACCTAAAAATTATTTAGATTAAATTGGAAATATTTATGAATCATTATTTAGAAATTATTAATTCAGAGTCAAAAGTGGACAGTTCTGTCTTGAACCCCTTCCACTCAGGCCTGTCTAGGCTTTAGACGCTGTTTAACTCCCTAACGCTGTGACCTAAAATTATTTTAGATTAAATCCGAAATATTTATAAATTATTCTTTATAAATTATTATTCAGAGTCAAAAGTGGATGGTTCTGTCTGGAACCCCTTCCACTCAGGCCTGTCTAGGTCATAGACTCTGCTAAACTCCCTAACACTGTGACCTAAAATTATTTTAGATTAAATCGGAGATATTTATAAAGATATTTATAAAGTATTATTGTTCACAGTCAAAAGTGGATGGTTCTGTCTGAAACCCCTTCCACTCAGGCCTGTCTAGGCCATAGACTCTGCTAAGCTCCCTCAAGGCTATGATTAAAAATTATTTAAGATTAAATTGCAAATATTTATATATAATTTCAAAATTATTTCAAAATATATTATTTCTTATTTTAGAGTCAAAAGTGGATGGTTCTGTCTGGAAGCCCTTCAACTCAGGCCTGTCTAGGCTTTAGACTCTGCTAAACTCCCTCAAGGCTGTGACCTAAGATTATTTTAGATTAAATCGGAAATATTTATGAATTATTATTTATAAATTATTATTCAGAGTCAAAAGTGGACGGTTCTGTCTGGAACCCCTTCCATTCAAGCCTGTCTAGGCCAAAGACTCTGCTAGACTCCCTAACGCTGTGACCTAAGATTATTTTAGATTAAATCGGAAATATTTATGAATTATTATTTATAAATTATTATTCAGAGTCAAAAGTGGACAGTTCTGTCTGGATCCCCTTCTACTCAGGCCTGTCTAGGCCATAGAATCTGCTGAACTCCCTAACGCTGTGATCTAAAATAGATCTTAAAGGTTAGTTATAAATTATATTTTGGAAATTATTATTTCAGAGTCAAAAGTGTCAATTTCATTAATAATTGCATAATTTAGTTTTGTTATATTATTAATTTTAGATCAATAAATAGAATTATTGGTCCAGAGTATCGACTTTTCAGAAGGTTGCATTGTTTTAGATGGATAAGTTTGGCGTTAAGAGGAGATTTTTTATATAGATTATATAGGACCTAGGGTTCACTGTAAATTATTATTTCAGAGTTAGAAAGTGAGTAGGAATTGTAGTTTATTTAGGTATTGGACTATTCTAAAGTTGTAATCCATGAGTTAAACAATTTTGAGTTTAATAAGTAAGGTTAGCTCCCAAATTGTTGCTTACGGGTGTAAATTAGAATGTTGTATAAAATTGTGTCATCACTTTCTACACTGTTTATTTTGTTAAAAAGTACAAACAGGAACTGTTAAATTATAAAGTAAATTAGTATGAAAAAAAAGGTGGAATAAAAATTGAGTGTATAGTTGTTCCAAAACATTTTTTATTTGTTCAAAAAAGGTACAATATACAGGTAGGGGGAAATTAATAGGAAAATAAAAATAGAACTAAAAATAAAAAATAAAAAATAAAAACTGGGATAAAATATGGAATGTACAATGTTTACCAAATTAGAAAGTGGGAAATACGAGAGTGGCAAAAACGAAAAGGTGAAAAAAGGAAACTATAAAAAACTGGACCCTGGGATCAAGAGGTGGGAAATACGAGTTTGGTAAATGGACAAATGCTGAAATGCTATGTTAGAGTAGAAATTAAAGTAAACCATAAAAGGTGCGGGTTTTATGGACCTTTATTCATGCACCAGGATAAACCAACACTCAAAATAGAAGACCAGAGGACCAGATTGTGTTGAGTTAAGTGCTCAATTAATTATTTTGGAAAATCTTATTTTTTTGAAAAATTCTTCAAATAAACCATTACATTGACCCAGCGCTGGTATTGGACATTAAATTTCAGGACACGTCCTCAGTAGTGAACCCCGAAATCATCGGATGTTTCGGCCGTTTTAACACTAGATATCCTCATTCAAGGAAGGCCCCACGGAGTCGATCAACTTTCGTGTTGTGCCCTGTAGCCAATTGGAGCTATTTTAGTCCTATTTAGTTTTGGTGCTGTGAAGTTTTAGTTGTATGCTAGTTTGGTAGTTGCTATTCTGTAACTATTTAGAGTAATTTTGAGGTGTTTGAGAGGTTTTTTGTAGACTTACCCTAGTGGTCCTATGTTGTTGTTGATGTGAGGCGTTTCTTTTCCAGTAGTGTAAAATCTGTTGGAGGGGGGAAAAGGTTCCAGCTGTCCAGCCGCGGCGGCGGTGTGTCTGAAGTCCGGGGTCCTCGGCGGGGGAAAGAAGATAGGCGGTCCGCGGGAAGGTTTGCTGGGACTCGGTGCCGTCGGCGGGTCGAAGCTCGGTGGTGGCCGGCTTGGAGTGAAGGAGGTGCGGCGTCTTCTTTCAGGTGGCGGCACGGGGTCTTCCTCGAGGCGGTGGTCCGTCTTCTTGGTCCAGTGGTTAGTGCTTTGTCTCAATTACAGGAACAGGAATTGCTCTTTAGTGCACAGCACTTAGAAGTGCTTTTAACAGGAGCAGACATCCCCAGAGTTGGGCTCGACTCATGGTTTGTGTTGTTCCTCTCAGACATGGTTGTGTTCTCTTCTCGATGTTTGTTTGGTTGTATTTTAAACTTTCAAGTTGTTTTAAGTTAATTTTAAAGTGGTTTATTTGTTTTAAATTGAGTTTTGCTACATTAAATTTGTATGCAATCGCAAGGGATTGTGGGTATTTTAGTTCTGAGGGATGAGAGCCTAAGGAATCAATCTTCCTGTTACAGCAAAGGATTGTGGGTTAAACCGAGAGTGAGTGAGGTACTTCCTTTCTGGCATGAGAGCCTTGGGAATCCATCTCCCTGTTGCAGAAATGGATTGTGGGTAAAACCGTGAGTGAGGGAGGTACATTTTTCCTGGCATGAGAACCTCAGGAGTCAGTCCTTCCTAAGAAAAAAGAGGGGAGGGGGGAAGAAAAACAAAAGCACAGGAACCCTAAAATAAAATAATACAATATAAAACAATGAAAAAATAAAAAAATAAAAGAAGAACAAAAGTGGATTGCAAAAAGGGAAGGGGAAGAAAAAAGGAAAAAAAGAAGTGTCAAGAGCAAATAGCAAAAATCAAAAGTGAGCTTAAAAACAGAGAACAGTTCCCTAAAAGACAGACAGACAGAAATGTAAATTTGATCAATGTCCTAAGGGAAAATCTGTACGTGTGTGCGTGTGTGTGCGTGTGCGTGTGTGTGTGTGTGTGTGTGTGTGTGTGTGTGTTCTTTTTTGCTAGCTTAGTCTGGTGTCACTGATGGTCAGTTATTGATAAGTATTTATTATTTAAATTTTTGATGAAGTTGTTTGTAGTGGGGTTAGCTGGCTAATTTTAGAGTGTTAAAAAAGATGTTTGAGGGGGAGGATTTAGGGGGCACGGCGGTTCCCCTTCAGGTCTCTCTTAATCCTCCATATAGGTGACCCAACAGGGGTTACCCCCCGGCCGGGGTAGGCCTAGGCTGAAGATCACCTATTTGTCCTCTGTGAAGGTGAAAATAAAGGGGCAGGGGAGGGAATAAGAAAGAGGGGGTGTGTTAGAGAGAGGGGGAGAGATGAGGGAGAGAGATGAGGGAGAGAGAGAGAGTGTGTGAGAGAGAGGGGGAAGAGGGAAAGAGGGAGAGAGGGGGGGGGAGTGTGTGTGAGAGAGAGAGAGAGAGAGAGAGAGAGAGAAGGGAAGAGGGAGAGGGGGGTTTAAGGGAGAGGTGGAGATGGTGGAAAATAAAGATTGGTGAGGGGGATTTGGTGGCGGATGAAACATCCCATAGCTCCCCAGCTCTCACCATCCATGTGAGGAGAGTGAGCAAGGGACATAGTCCCCCGACCCGACTAGGTCTAGGCTCTGCTCTCCTCACGGTCCTCACGAGATACAAAGAGATATGTAAACGTGGAAGTGAGAGTTCTCTAGGCAGAGTTTTGGGTTTGGTTTGAGCTGAGTTGGTCAGTTGATTATTGATTACAATTTTAAGTTCTAAAAGTGGATAGAGTCAAAAAGTCACAGAGGATTGTGGTGGGAGCAGGTGATCCGTCTGGCACCATTCTGCTCATGCAGGGATTCGAGTGATAGAAAGAGAATAGATCTTGCCACCGTGACTCGCCATTGAGACTCTCCTCACCTGCTGGTTGGAGTACTAGGTTAATATTGGGGTGTTCAGGCTTCCTGAAGGTAATACCCTGGTACTAGGTTATGGGACTAGGGTAAGGTTTTAAGGTTTTTGGCGTTAGGGTTAAAATCACTGTCCAAAACCTTTGTAGGAACTCTTTTCCAACCTTTTGGAGTTAGTTAGACCAAAAAAAACGAAAAATGAAATAAATTTTTTTTGGGGTGTAAAGGCTTCCTGAAGGTAATACCCTTGTATTAGGTTATGGGGCTAGGGTAAGGTTTAAGGTTTTTTGGCGTTAGGGTTAAAATCACTGTCCAAAACCTTTTTAGGAACATGTTTCAGGACTTTTTGGAGTTAGTTAGACCAAAAAAAAACAAAAAATAATAATAAAATTTTTTTGGGGGTGGTAGGGCTTCCTTTAGGTAATAACCGGGTATTAGGTTACAGGGCTAGGTAAAGGTTAAAGGTTTTTGGCGTTAGGGTTAAAGTCACTGTCCAAAACCTTTGTAGGAACTCTTTTCCAACCTTTCGGAGTTAGTTAGACCAAAAAAAACTAGGGCCCTGTTGGGGCACTAACGGGCCCGAGCCGTGTCGCGCCGCCCCCCCTAAAGCGCTGCCTCCCCGTCCCATTCGCGTCCTCTGGCCATCGCCCTCTCTGTTAACGCCCATCACTGAAAAGACCCTTTTCCCTCATCGGCGTTTGCTGTTCTTCCTGCCAGTGCGTGTTGCTTTCACTTACACTTGCCACAGCCAGCCTCGTGAGTGCCTAGCCTATTGGATATCACTGTCATCTACACAGGACAGTCATTACCTTTCTATTAATACTTTGTTTTTTAATTTCACATTAATTACCATATTGTATAAAGGACTGGAAAAGACTTGAGCCCCTGCCCCAGTATAATCATGTGCACGTCCCTGTTCTGGCTCTAAGGTGAATCTTCACTGCTCATGTTCTCCTCAGAAGCCGTCACCTCACTCCCCTCAGGTTACTGTACACATGCAGCAACTGCATGCTTCAGGTTTAGATAGCGCTTCATGGTTGTCTTTTGGAGAAATGACCAGCCAATTTGCGTTTGACATTTGATTTTTTCAGGGGCAAGCCTCTGCATTCCTGTCTAATATGTAAATAGCATGTTTTTGCAGGTGCTAAAAAACAGACTCTGTTTGTGTGTGTGTGTGTGTGTGTGTGTGTGTGTGTGTGTGTGTGTGTCTGTGTGTCTGTGTGTGTGTATCCTAAACACTAAACACTTCCACTACACAATTAACCCTTTCACGTATAACGGTCACTACAGTGGACAAATCTTCACAGGACATTTTCTATTATAAAAATAGGGGTTTGATTTTACAAATACATGTTAGCAACAACAATAGACCCTGGAAAATGAGTCCAACACTGGCACCCTGTGGCCATGTGATGCAACTGCAGAAAACACACGTCAACATTTAAGGTGGCTGCCTCTGCTGAAAAAAACAAATGTATGATGTCACTAAAAATCATTGTCACTAAAAATGATTATATTATTACACACATGCACACTCTTTGATGATCTGTGAAGCAGCTCTGAAGAGACAGTAGGAGCAGCAGAACAAAGTGTATTTGTAGAAAAGCCGTAAGAGCTATTGAAATGCCGTTTTTGCAGGTTGAAAGGTTCACGTCTCCACCAAAGGTCAGAGGTCAAATAACATTTGAATGTCAAACTGTGACGTCACAGTCGAGGTCCAAAGATAGTGTGCACACCTGTCTTTGGTCATTTCCCATTATATTGAACGGGAGGCGCAGTTTCTACCGAAACGCTGGCTGCAGACAAACTACATGTCCTATTTGAAAAAAGTCTGGACCATGAGTGAGGGCACAAACACAGCTAGGAAATATCCAAATGGCAAATTGATTCTCCTTTCACTTTTGCCGAGAGAGCAGTGCGTTTGAGCCATTGAACGATGAACAGGAAAAACTTGACTTTATTCTCCTGCCATGGGGGGGCGCTCTTTTACGAGAAAAAACTCCTTCACAAATGTGTTGATGGCTGGACATTGCATCATCCTAGAAAACATGGAGGCCAGTGAGGACAAAAATAAAATGTTATAACACTTTTAAGAATATGGATATTTGGGTCATCTTTGGCGCCCCCTAGAACGTAAACCGTGGGGTGCAGCGTCATGATTTGTACAACTTTGAATGGCCATGGGGTGTAGATTGGCCTGAGAAAATTTGGTGTCAGTGGGACGAAAGCCTTAGGAGGAGTTAGCTACATTCCAATGTGTGCGAATCGGCAAAAAATGCGAAATAGCCCTTTAACCGTACATTTTACAGATATGTGCACATTGACTTTTTCGTAGATCTTATTGAGATACACTTGATTGTCAAATTTTGTGTCAATATGACAAAGCGTATAGGTGTGACACTCAACAATGTGTATTTTCACCATCGGGGACAAGAAAAAATGGACTTTTTTCTCCTGCCATGGGGGGGCGCTCTTTTGGGGAGTAAAAATGCCTTCACAAATGTGTTGATGGCTGGACATTGCATCATCCTAGAAAACTTGGAGGCCAGTGAGGGCAAAAATAAAAAGTTATCAGACTTTTAAGAATGTGGATTTTTGGGTTATCTTTGGCGCCCCCTAGAACCTAAACCGTAGGGTGCAGCGTCATGATTTGTACAACTTTGAATGGCCATGGGGTGTAGATTGGCCTGAGCAAATAAGGTGCCGGTGGAACGAAAGCCTTAGGAGGAGTCAGCGAAATTCCAATGTGTACGGATCGCCAAAAAATGCGAAATAACCCTTTAACCGTACATTTGACAAATACGCCCGCACTGACTTTTTTGTAGATCTTATTGAGATACACCTGTGTGTCAAATTTTGTGTCATTTTGACAAAGCGTACAGGCGTCAGGTGAGTTTTCACCTTAGGGGGCGCTATGGAGCCATTTTTCATTTTATTGTTTGGGCGACTTCAGAATATCAAATTTTTCACCAGGCCCGGTCGTCCTGCCAAATTTCCTGAGTTTTCGCCAGTGGGAAGTGGGCCATTTTCCAGTTTAAAGCGGAGGAAAAATAACGAAAGAATAACTCATACAGGAACAAGAGGGCTCTCGCAGCTGCTTAGCAGCTACGCTCAGGCCCTAAAAACGAAAAATGAAAAAAAATGTTTGGAATGTGAGGGCTTCCCGGGTATTAGGTTATGGGGCTAGGGTAAGGTTTAAGGTTTTTGGCGTGAGGGTTAAAATCACTGTCCAAAACCTTTGTAGGAACTCTTGTCCAACCTTTTGGAGTTAGTTAGACCAAAAAAAAAGATAAAAGAAAAAAAAATAGTTGGGGATTTCACGCTTCCTGAAGGTAATACCCGGGTATTAGGTTATGGGGCTATAATAAGGTTTAAGGTTTTTGGTGTTAGGGTTAAAATCACTGTCCAAAACCTTTGTAGGAACTCGTTTCCAACCTTTTGGAGTTAGTTAGACAAGAAAAAAAGGAAAAATGAAAAAAAAATATTTGTGGTTTTCGGGCTTCCTGAAGGTATTAGGTTTTGGGGCTAGGGTAAGGTTTAAGGTTTTTTGGCGTTAGGGTTAAAATCACTGTCCAAAACCTTTTTAGGAACTTGTTTCAGACCTTTTGGAGTTGGTTACACCAAAAAAAATGTAAAATGAAAAAAAAATATTTGGGGTGTTAGGGTTAAAATCACTGTCCAAAACCTTTGTAGGAACTCTTTTCAGACCTTTTGGAGTTAGTTAGACCAAAAAAAAAGAAAAAAGAAAAAAAAAATTGTTGGGGATTTCGCGCTTCCTGAAGGTAATACCCGGGTATTAGGTTATGGGGCTAGGGTATGGTTTAAGGTTTTTGGAGATAGTGTTAAAATCACTGTCCAAAACCTATGTAGGAACTCGTTTCCAACCTTTTGGAGTTAGACCAAAAAAAAATGAAAAATGAAAAAAATATATTTGGGTTGTTTGGGCTTCCTGACGGTAATTCCCGGGTATTAGGTTATGGGGCTAGGGTAAGGTTTAAGGTTTTTGGCGTTAGGGTTAAAATCACTGTCCAAAACCTTTGTAGGAACTCGTTTCCAACCTATTGGAGTTAGTTAGACCAAAAAAAAAGAAAAAAGAAAAAAAAATATTTGGGGTGTTCGGGCTTCCTGAAGGTAATTCCCGGGTATTAGGTTATGGGGCTAGGGTAAGGTTTAAGGTTTTTGGCGTGAGGGTTAAAATCACTGTCCAAAACCTTTGTAGGAACTCTTTTCCAACCTTTTGGAGTTAGTTAGACCAAAAAATAACGAAAAATGAAAAAAGAATATTTGGGGTGTTCGGGCTTCCTGAACCCGGGTATTAGGTTTTGGGGCTAGGGTAAGGTTTAAGGTTTTTGGCGTTTGGGTTAAAATCACTGTCCAATATTTTTTAAGGAACATGTTTCAGACCATTTGGAGTTAGTTAGACCAAAAAAACAATGAAAAATGAAAAAAAATATTTGGGGTTTTCGGGCTTCCTGAAGGTAATACCCGGGTATTAGGTTATGGGGTTAGGGTAAGGTTTAAGGTTTTTGGCGTTAGGGTTAAAATCACTGTCCAAAACCTTTGTTGGAAAATGTTTAAGACCTTTTGGAGTTGGTTACACCAAAAAAAATGTAAAATGAAAAAAAAATATTTGGGGTTTTCGGGCTTCCTGAAGGTAATACCCGGGTATTAGGTTTTGGGGCTTGGGTAAGGTTTAAGGTTTTTGGCGTTAGGGTTAAAATCACTGTCCAAAACCTTTGTTGGAAAATGTTTAACACCTTTTGGAGTTGGTTACACCAAAAAAAATGTAAAATGAAAAAAAAATATTTGGGGTGTTCGGGCTTCCTGAAGGTAATACCCGGGTATTAGGTTTTAGGGCTAGGGTATGGTTCAAGGTTTTTGGTGTTAGGGTTAAAATCACTGTCCAAAACCTTTGTAGGAACTCTTTTTCAACCTTTTGGAGTTAGTTAGACCAAAAAATAACGAAAAATGAAGAAAGAATATTTGGGGTGTTCGGGCTTCCTGAACCCGGGTATTAGGTTTTGGGGCTTGGGTAAGGTTTAAGGTTTTTGGCGTTAGGGTCAAAATCACTGTCCAAGACCTTTGCAGGAACTCTTTTCCAACCTTTTGGAGTTAGTTAGACCAAAAAAAATGAAAATGAAAAAAAAATATTTGGGGTTTTCGGGCTTCCTGAAGGTAATACCCGGGTATTAGGTTATGGGGCTAGGGTAAGGTTTAAGGTTTTTGGTGTTAGGGTTAAAATCACTGTCCAAAACCTTTGTAGGAACTGTTTCCAACCTTTTGGAGTTAGTTAGACCAAAAAAAAAAGAAAAATGAAAAAAATATATTTGGGTTGTTCGGGCTTCCTGAAGGTAATACCCGGGTATTAGGTTATGGGGCTATGGTAAGGTTTAAGGTTTTTGGCGTTAGGGTTAAAATCACTGTCCAAAACCTTTGTAGGAACTCTTTTCCAAACTTTTGGAGTTAGTTAGACCAAAAAAAAAACGAAAAATGAAAAAAAAATATTTGGGGTCTTCGGGCTTCCTGAAGGTAATACCCGGGTATTAGGTTTTGGGGCTAGGGTAAGGTTTAAGGTTTTTGGCGTTAGGGTTAAAATCACTGTCCAAAACCTTTGTAGGAACTCTTTTCCAACCTTTTGGAGTTAGTTAACCAAAAAATAACGAAAAATGAAAAAAAAATATTTGGGGTGTTCGGGCTTCCTGAAGGTATTACCCGGGTATTAGGTTTTGGGGCTAGGGTAAGGCTTAAAGTTCTTGGCGTTTGGGTTGAATCACTGTCCAAAACCTTTGTAGAAACTCGTTTCCAACCTTTTGGAGTTAGACCAAAAAAAAATGAAAAATGAAAAAAATATATTTGGGTTGTTTGGGCTTCCTGACGGTAATTCCCGGGTATTAGGTTATGGGGCTAGGGTAAGGTTTAAGGTTTTTGGCGTTAGGGTTAACATCACTCTCCAAAACCTTTGTAGGAACTCTTTTTCAACCTTTTGGAGTTAGTTAGACCAAAAAAAATGAAAATGAAAAAATATATATTTGGGGTGTTCGGGCTTCCTGACGGTAATACCAGGGTATTAGGTTTTGGGGTTTGGGTAAGGTTTAAGGTTTTTGGCGTTAGGGTTAAAATCACTGTCCAAAACCTTTTTAGGAACATGTTTCAGACCTTTTGGAGTTGGTTACACCAAAAAAAATGTAAAATGAAAAAAAAAGTATTTGGGGTGTTCGGGCTTCCTGAAGGTAATACCCGGGTATTTGGTTTTAGGGCTAGGGTATGGTTTAAGGTTTTTGGTGTTAGGGTTAACATCACTCTCCAAAACCTTTGTAGGAACTCTTTTTCAACCTTTTGGATTTAGTTAGACCAAAAAATAACGAAAAATGAAAAAAGAATATTTGGGGTTTTCGGGCTTCCTGAAGGTAATACCCGGGTACCAGGTTATGGGGCTTGGGTAAGGTTTAAGGTTTTTGGCGTAAGGGTTAAAATCACTGTCCAAGACCTTTGCAGGAACTCTTTTCCAACCTTTTGGAGTTAGTTAGACCAAAAAAAATGAAAATGAAAAAAAAATATTTGGGGTTTTCGGGCTTCCTGAAGGTAATACCCGGGTATTAGGTTATGGGGCTAGGGTAAGGTTTAAGGTTTTTGGTGTTAGGGTTAAGATCACTGTCCAATATTTCTTAATGAACATGTTTCAGACCTTTTGGAGTTAGTTAGACAAAAAAAAAATGTAAAATGAAAAAAAAATATTTGGGGTGTTCGGGCTTCCTGAAGGTAATACCCGGGTATTAGGTTTTGGGGTTAGGGTAAGGTTCAAGGTTTTTGGCGTTAGGGTTAAAATCACTGTCCAAAACCTTTGTAGTAACTCTTTTCCAACCTTTTGGAGTCAGTTAGACCAAAAAAAAAAAACCTTAACTTAAAGTTGTGGCATTTGTTGAACTTGAATTTGTGGTGTTTGTTTAACTTGAGTTTGTGGTGTTTGTTGACTCACATCATGACTTGTTGAACTTGACTTATTTGTGGTTGCTGAACTTGAGATTGTGGCATTTGTTGAACTTGAAGTTGTGGCATTTGTAGAACTTGAGTTTGTGGGGTTTGTTGAACTTGAGTTTGTGGCTTTTCTTAATTTTAATTTATCAAACACAGGATAAGATGTTAAATTCCTTTGTGCGAGCACATGCCTAAGAGTGATGAATGGTAGAACATCTTCTTGTCGTCTTGGTGATGAATGATGGAGAATGGGAGCTGGATACGCATCATCAGTAGTGTAGCCTTGGTTCCTGGGATGTTTCGGCCTCTACACTATACACCCTCCCCAAGGTGGCCAGCTACAGGCTGATCAGACCTGTGCTTGCGTGAGTCCAGACTCGTCACAAGATAGATGGTACCTTCTCTCGTGGGACTATGCAAGGCAGGGGCGTCCTACTCCCTGAGTCAAGCCGAAGCTGACCGCATACCTGAGGGCTTGCTACTTCGGGGCCCAACAGGGGTCCTTCCGCCTCATGAAAAGCCACTGGCTGCTTCTTTCAGCTGCCTCCGATGTAGCTTTGATGGCTGAGCGCTGGTTCTGGCCTCTGACTCCCAGGTCAGCGAACAGTCTGATGGTAGATCTTGCCACAAATCCTCTACATCCCACCTCCACTGGGCGGACTTCAGCACTCCTGCCACGGTGTTGTGCTTCAGCAGCGAGATCGGCGTAGCGTAGGTGTTTTCGCTCATACGCCTCATCCACTGCATCCTCCCAGGGTACTGTGAGCTCGATGATGTACACCTTCTTTAGGGAAGGGGACCACAGCACCAGGTCAGGTCTCAGGGTGGTTGTAGCAATTTCTGGAGGAAAAACCAGCTGTCGGCCAATATCAGCCATCATCCTCCAGTCACGGGCTAGGCGTAGCTGGCCTCGCTCAGATGGTGTGGAGCAGCTTCTGGCTACCTTAGCCCCCTCATGGACAAAGGTAGTTGCCGGTTGTTGGTTGGATGCTGGTGGTGGTAGGGAGTTGGTGGCAGCTCGTTTGTCCTCTAGAGTGGATGCAAGGACCTTTAGGACCTGGTTGTGACGCCATGTATACCGTCCTTGGGTGAGACTGGTTTTACACCCTGTGAGAATGTGTCTGAGGGTGGCTGGCATGGAACATAGGGCACACCTCGGGTCTTCACCAAACCACTGGTGAAGGTTAACTGGTGATGGAAGGACGTCGTATATAGCTCTGATGGAAAAGCTCAGCTGTCTCGCTTCCATGGCCCACATGTCCTTCCAGTTGATCTTCCTCCTCTCCATGCTGTCCCATTTTGTCCACTGTCCCTGCTTGCCTAGAGACACTGCCTTGGCCCATCGTACAGCCGCCTCCTGGCGTCGTACCTCCTCCACCACCATCTTCCTCCGTTCTGTTGCTGTGGTCTTACTCCAAGCTGGGCGGGTGGCTGTTAGTCCAAGGCCTCCTCTTCCTTGCTGGACATGGCCCACATTGTCAGCATGTTTGAGGGCGGCAGTTGCCTCCTCCACTGCTTTGGTTGGTCTCCACTTGCGGCCAGTTGTTAGGGTTGGTGCATTGTTGCTCACCACTGTGTCTCTGGATTCATTCAGCGTCATCTGGAATCTTGTTTTTGCGCACTTGAATTCCTCCGTAAGACTGGTGAGGGGCAATTTGAGGATGCTATCTCCGTAGAGGCCTATGTTGGTAAGGCATCGTGGAACACCAAGCCATTTCTTGATGTATCCTGTGACTGTTCTTTCCAGCTTCTCTACAGTTGAGATTGGTACCTCATAAACTGCCAGCGGCCACAGCATCCGGGGTAGGAGTCCAAACTGCCAGCACCAGGCTTTTAGCTTTCCAGGCAGTTGGGTGTTGTCAATGGACTGTAGGCCACTGCTGAAGTCCTTGCACAGTTGTTGCACTTGGTCTTTGTCCTTCAGAGTTGCATCATACCACCTGCCAAGGCTTTTTACAGGCTGCTCGGACACTGTTGGGATTGGGTCTTCTCCGATGAAGAATTTCAGGTCAGAGAGCACTCCCTTTACAATTGAGATGCTTCGTGACTTGGATGGTTTGATCTTCATGCGGGCCCAACTGATGTTCTCTTCCAGCTTTCTGAGCAGCCTCCTGGTGCATGGAACAGTGGTTGTCAGCGTTGTGATGTCATCCATGTACGCTCTGAGCGGCGGGAGACGCGGACCGGAGCCAACCCGCTGACCACCTACAACCCACTTTGAGGCTCGGATAATGACCTCCATTGCCATCGTAAATGCCAGAGGTGAAATAGTGCATCCTGCCATGATCCCCATTTCTAGGCGCTGCCAAGAGGTGGTAAAGTCAGTGGTGTTGAAGCAGAACTGCACATCTTGGAAGCAGGATTTAACCAGGGCCGTGATGGAGTCTGGTATGTGGAAGAATTTGAAGGCAGACCACAGGAGTTCATGGGGCACTGAGCCAAAGGCATTGGCAAGGTCCAGAAAAACTACGTGGAGATCCCTTCTCTCTACCTTTGCCGTTTGGATCTGGTGCCAGATCATGCTGGAATGTTCTGAACACCCGGAGAATCCTGAGATTCCTGCCTTCTGTACAGATGTGTTGATGTACTCGTTTCTTCGCAGATACTCGCCCATCCTCTGTGCAATGACACTGAAGAAGATTTTGCCCTCAACATTTAATAGGGAGATTGGACGGAATTGGCTGATGTTCTCTGCATCTTTCTTTAAACTTGAGTTAATTGGCATTTGCTGAACTTGAGTTTGTGGCGTGTCTTGAACTTGAAATTGTGGCATTTGTTGAACCTGAGTTTGTGGTGTTTGTTGAACTTGAAGTTGTGGTATTTTTGAACTTGAGTTTGAGGCGTTTTTTGAACTTGTGTTTGTGGCATTTGTCTAACTTGAGTTTGTGGCATTTTTTGAACTTGAGTTTTGAGCAATTGTTGAACTTGATTTAGGGGCGTTTGTAGAACTTAAGGTTGTGGCATTTTTTTGAACTTGAGTTTGTGGTGTTTGTGGTGTTTGTTGACCTTGAGTTTTTGGTGTTTGTTGAACTTGAAATCTTGGCATTTGTTGAACTTGAGTTTGTGGCATTTGTTGAACTTGAATTTGTTGTGTTTGAAGCCATTGAAGTTGTGGCATTTTTTGAACTTGAGTTTCTGGCATGTTTAAACTTGAGTTTGTGGTGTTTGTTGAACTTGAGTTTTATGGAATTATATGTGTTCCAGTATCCTGAGAGAGCAATGAAAGATTTTGAGCGAGCAATGATAGATTTTGAGCACAGAAAAATATATTAAGCAAACAAATGCGAGCAATGATAGATTCTGAGCACAATGACAAATTTTGAGCACAGAAAAATTTCGAGCAAAAAAAAATCTATTCTCTGCACCATTAATGTGTTTACATGACGCGCTCACTTCCCCCCTCCCTCTCTCGCTCAACATCTCACCCTCTGCACGCTCAGGTTTTTCCTCTTTTCGTGCTAGAGCACGACACAGGAGTGGATTTTCACTCCTGTCCCATCCCACTCCCAGAGAAAAAATCACGTCCCAAACCCGGACCGGAGTAAAAAAATTGATCCCGTCCTGTCTCACTCCCGTAGAATGACTCCCACTCCCATCCTGTTCCCACTCAAAATTACTCCCACTCCTGTCCCGCTCCTGTTTGGATAAAACCAAGCATGTTGAAAAAACATTGCATTTTTTATTTCAGGTAAAAGTGCAGTGCATATAAAAAGCATTGCCTTTAAGTTCCACATGCCTGACATTCGGTTGGTGTAAACAAAGTGCATATATATATATATATATAGAGAGAGAGAGTGGCGTTTCTAGAATAATTTACTCCCCGGGCAAGACCCCCTCCAAGCCGTCTGAGCTGCGCCTCTGAAATCCTGAGGGCCATTTTGAGAAGGGCCCCCAGATCCTGAGGTTTTCTTAACTGTTGAGGTGTACAAAAAAGCTGATATCTCAGCCTCTGTCGCAGATAGAAACAGAATTCAAAAAGTATTTCAGAGTTTACAGGTGTGGCTTTCAAGAAAGCTATCTATTATTTTTTTGGAACCTTCATCATATTTTTGAAAACATTGAAGAAACAAACTTAAATGAATTAAAATGGCTATATAAATAAAAGTAAAGACTCTGCACTGGAGAATAATAAACTATTTGCTTTCTGTAAAACAAGTGGCAGTCATGATAAAGTGTCCATTCAACACAAATGTAAATATAAGAAATAAAGTGTTGAAAGGGTATGCAGCTGCCCTAGTATAATGCCAGTACAAGACCAGGACTTAAAACTAGAAAAATGAATAAATTCATACGTGTCTGACAGCGTGTTCATCTCTGTGCTCACCCAAAGTCATGCAGCACTCAGAGAAAACGCTGATAGTGTGAACCAAAGACCTCAATATGAAGAAGTTGTTCACACTGCTGGATGTTTCTCCTCCGAAGCTGCTCTCTGCCTCTGTCGTTGTTTACTTTACTCTTGGAGCACGTAGCAAGATCCGAGCATGAATCTGAACGCTTTATTTGCCTATCAGAAGCAGACGGGTAAGGTGATTTGATTCGCCACAACTCCAGAAATGATTAAAGAACTACAGAATGTCACAAAATGACGTATCCGCGCTCCTGGCTTGAAGGGTACGAATGCGCAGCCGTGCTCCCGGCTGACAGGAAGTCAAACCACTGTAGTAGTTCTTTTGTGTTGCTAGCGCGGTCAAGAGGGTTGGCTCTCACTGAGAGATGACTACAAAAATGGATGCATCTGTTCATCTGGTTGTTTAACACGGCTGAAAATGATCATCTATAAATGTTGTTCCCGCTCCTGCCGTCTCCCGTTGCTTTTTTTCCCATCCCGTCCTGATCACGGGATTAATTAAAACATGACTCCCATCCCATGGGATTCCCGCAGTAATCACGTGACCCACAGGAATCCCCAAAAAATGTCATCCTCTACTTTGCGCACAGCTTGGCACACACGTTACAATTGTGCCACAAAGCCAACTAATCAAAGAGCTGGCAGAAGTACACTCTGATTGGCTGTTCGCTCTCCCATTAGATCGCATTAAGTGCAGGGGGTTAAAAGATTACAATACAGTGCATACAGTGCATTCATTCATCCCTTAAAAACAGTCAAGTCCTGTAGTCATTAGATAATGTCAGGTAAACAACAACAACCACATGTAAGTAGTTTGTGTTGCCTTTGTTATAAACAAAGTGTCACAAAGCAGTGAGGGGTGTCTTGTCCTGGTTTTTCTTTCTTGTCATTTTCATGTTTTATTTTGAAAAATAACTCCCCTCTCGTTTCAGGTCTCTCGTGTTTCCGGTCTGACGTCTCCCCTGATTCCTGATTGTTTCCACCTATTCCCCATTAACCTCATGTGTCTTATAGTCAGCGTCTCCCTTTGTCCTGTGCCAGAGTGTCTCATTTATTCATGTTCCTCCAGCCTTCATGTCCACAGCCTTGCTCGATAGCCTCGTTTGTATTTTTGATAATTCTTGTTTCCTCTTTAGAAGAGTGATTTTCTGTTGTAGTTTTTTCCCTGTTTAGTTTCTAGATCTAGCTTCTGTTTCATAGCCTTGTTGCTTTTTCCTCCCTTTTGGAGTGACTTTGTTTTCTTACAGTTTTTTCTAGCTTAGGAGTGCAGTGTAGTTAAGTTTGTAGCCTCTTTTTGTTTCCCTCCTTTTGGAGCGTTTTTTTATTCATAAATTGTCATAGTTATTCCTCTGAAGATCAGAGAAGATCAGCTTACTAATTTGTCCTCCTTTTGGAGTGAATTTTTGTTCAGTCTTGGTTTGTTTTGTTTTTGTGTTCTGTCTGTTTGCCATTAGAATAGATAGAGAAGGTTTTCATAGCCTATTTATTTATCACTCTATCTACTGGGTAAAGAAGACGATTTTAAAAAAAAAAAAACCTTTGTTGATCTTGGAACCTCTGTGTCTGAGTCCTCCCTCAAACCCAGGCCTGACACAAAGTGTGTTATAAAAATGAAAAAAAAGTTCTGTTTTTACGTTAGTTTGCAACCATAGTAAGTTTGCAAACTAGCCATTAGCTATTTTGGTTGGTACTCTGATGATGATGCCTTTGACTGGCCTACACCTATTATCTGACAGTCTCAGATCAAATTTTGTTAGCTGGTAACAGAGCCAGCTAAATTGGCGGCTAACAACCATTAGCCATGATTTTAAGGCCAGTCGGTAGTCTGATGTCTCATTACTTTCAGTAGGAAACATGTTAACGGTACATCCTGAATTGATTTAGGGTCAAGGTACAGTTGAGTCAGCAGCCAGAAACCTGGTGTCTATGCTATTCGACACTTTGGCCACAAACAGCTCAACCAGGCCCACAAGGCAGGAGACTAAGCAGCCTGCCCCAGCCCCTAGAAATGTAACTGTGCAGCAAGAAATGACAAGGTTTGTTATTCAAGCCACACAACGTCATTCTCATTTGCACTGGGGAAAAAACAGTGTTTTCTTGTTAGGTCTACGTCACTACTGCTAAGATGTGAAAATTCAAATGTGCATTTTGAATCACACTCAGACAGAAGTTTGGTTTGTGATTACACTGGAAAAACTATATACATGTCAGTTAGAAGTTGAATGCAACACTTACTAAACTCTTATTTATATTTCAATCCACAGATCGTTTTCGGGATATTTCAAGTCAAACTTAAATCGTGGTAAAAAAAAAAAAAAAAGGTGTTTGACTGCCACCAAAGCATGTTCTTAAGCTAAACAGTAAGGCAGCTGCTCTCAATTTTTATCTGCTACCAAAAAATACATCCCACACACCGTTGCCTGTTGAGGAGCTTGAACTCCTTCAGGCGAGCATGGGGAGACAAATGAAGAAGAAGAAGAAGAAGAAGAGGAAGAAGAACTTTATTGATCCCCGAAGGGAAATTCAATTGTCTGTTATCTCACGTAATATGTCTATCAAAGTTATCTATTATTTACATAAGAGTCATAAAGCCTGATGGCTGTTGGTACAAAGGTCTTATAAATCTTTCTGTCCTGCAGCGAAGAGAGAGGAGCCATCCACCACCATTTGCCCTTTGGTCCATCAAGGTGCTGTGAAGAGGGTGATCCATGTTCTTGAGAATAGTCTCCACCTTCCTCAGTGTAAATCTTTCCACCACATCCTCCACTGACTCCAGCTTGAGTCCTACCACGGAGCAAGCCTTTTTCACCAGTTTGTTAAGACTTCTTGCATCTTTGTGTTTGATGTTTCCCCCCCAGCAGACTGCAGCGTAGAACAGACCACTTGCCACCACAGACTGATAAAACATCTGCATCGTCTTACTACAGACGTCTATTGATCAGAGTCTTCTCAGGCAAAAAAGGCGGCTCTGCCCCTTTCTGTAGATGTAGTCTATATTCTTAGACCAATCCAACTTATTATCCAGATGTACACCTAGGTATTTATATGATGTTACTACTTCAATGTCCACTCCACAGGTGTTCACTGGCTGAAGAGGGGGTTTGGATCTACAGAAGTCTATGACCATCTCCTTTGTCTTTAAGGTGTTGAGGAGGAGGCAGTTTTTGTGACTCCAGTCACTGAAGGCTCTTATTAGATCTCTGTATTCAGCTTCTTGTCCGTTTCTGATACATGCCACAATAGCGGTGTCATCTAAGTATTTCTGGATGTGGCAGGACTCAGTACTGTATTTGAAGTCTGACGTGTACAGTGTGAACAGGAATGGCGCCAGCACTGTCCCTTGTGGAGCCCCTGTACTGCTCATTGATGTCCCAGAAACACAGTTCCCCAGCCTGACAAACTGTGGCCTTCTTGTCAGGTAATCTGTGTTCCAGGAAACACAGGAAGGATCCACTCCTATCTCTGTGAGCTTGTCTTTGAGTATGGTGGGTTGGATGGTGTTGAGTGCAGTTGAAAAGTCGAAGAACATGATCCTCACATAAACTCTAGGTTCCTCCAGATGAGACAGGGCACGGTGAAGCATGTAGGGGACAGCATCATCCACCCCAGTGTGTTCTTTGTATGCAAACTGCAGGGAGTCCAGTTTGTCTTTGACCTCAGACCTCAGAAGGCGTAGAATCAGCCGCTCCAGGGTTTTCATGATGTGTGAAGTGAGGGCCACTGGTCTGTAGTCATTGAGTTCAGCAGGACATTTTGTTTTTGGTACTGGCACAATGCAGGATGTTTTCCCCAGAGCAGGTACCCGCCCCAGCTGTAGACTCAGGCTGAAGATCTTGTGGAGAGGTTGACACAGTTCTGCAGCACAGTCTCTAAGCAGCCTTGGACACACACCATCTGGACCAGCTGTCTTCCCAGGATAAAGTCTTCCAAGCTCCATCCTCACCCCTGTTTCGGTGACAGACAAGGACTGGTGTTCTAGGAGGGAGTCAGTTGAAGTGGTTGAGACATTTGAACAAGATGAAGGAGGAAGGGGAGAAGTTGTAGTGGAGATTTGTTGCGGAGAGAAAGGTGGAGCAGCAGTGGAAGTGGGAGTGACAGCAGTGTCAAAGCTGTTGAAGAACAGGTTGAGTTCATTAGCTCTTTTCACATCTCCCACCACTGGCTGTCTTTTCTTTTGACTGCTGTGTCCAGAGATGGTACTGATTCCTCTCCACACTTTACGGATGTTGCTGTGTTGTAGATTATTCTCTATCTTCTTTTTGTACTCCAGCTTTTGCCATCTTCAGTCCATACTATCCGCATCTGTTTCCAGCAGCACATTCCAGTGTGTTGATTTAAAACAGTCCCTTAGAGCTTCACTGGCTTGAGCTGTCCATCTTCTTATTTTGACTTTGGTCACAGGCTGCCTCAGCACACAAGGTCTGTAACAGGTTTGTAGATAGACCAAGTTATGGACCAAGTTACCAGTGGTGGTAAGGCAGTGGCTCTGTAGGCTTCTTTGACGTTGGCATACAGAAGATCCAGGGTCTTGTTTTCTCTGGTAGGACAGTTCACAAACTGTGTGAATACAGTCAGGTGAGAGGAGAGGGTGACATGGTTGAAGTCTCCCAATCTTGTTATCGATGCCTCAGGGTGTTAAGTCTGTAGCCTGGCAACACTATTTTGCAAAACATTGCAACATTCCTCAGTTGATTTGAGTGGACTGTAAACAACTACTGTTATGATATGACTATATTCTCTGGGAACATAATGTGGCTGAAGAGCAACTGCCAACAGTTCAATATCTACAACAACACACAACTTCTCCTTGACAATTATGTGTGAAGGGTTACACCATCTCTGGTTGACAAATAAAGTCAGACCTCCTCCTTTCTTCTTGCCACTAGCTTGAGCATCTCTGTCTGACCTTATGAGAGTGAAGCCAGGTAGATCCACACTGGAGTCCGAGTTGTTTTGATTCAACCAGGTTTCAGTAAAACACAGGAAACTGCACTCACAGAATGCTTTCTCAGTTTTCACCAAGATCTCCAGCTCATTGCTTTTGTTGGGCAGAGAGTTGACGTTTCCCATGATGATTGATGGAAGAAAGGGTTTATATCGCCACCTCCTAGCATTCAGCTTTGCCTTCACCTTTGGACCAGCACGGCAACCACGATAACACCTCCTGACGTCCTCTGGAATTGTTTTTGCCCAGATTTGCTTTTACTCAATGAAAGGAGCTCTTCTCTTGAGTAAACTCTTCGCCCAGCAGAAGTATCCATCAGCAGCCAACAAAATTACAACAAAATTATGAACAAAAATCTGGCATAAATTACAAAAATGACAGATAATACAGAGAGACCAGACTTGCAGCAACCTCTCGGTTCAAGCGCATCATTTTTGGTGAGCCTTCCTGAAGATGGTGACCACACAGAGGTACAGCTGTCAGTCCAGTTATTAAACTTATCTAGTAATTGTAGTTTATCTTAAGTTGTGTGCACTGTCACCCCCCCCCCCCCCCCCCACCCCCTCTCTCTCTCTCCTTTATTATTAAGAAAGATTTCCAGGCTCCTGGCTGACACATTTCCAAAAATGGAGGGTCTGTGTGGAGGGTGGCTCTTGCATAAGGTTACAGGTTTGTAAGATAAATATTATTTCAAGATTTCATATTTACTGATTATTACATCCCACTTACCCATTTTGGGGGTCTGTAAACCCTTATGATGCATTGATTACTTGCTGTTAGCATTAAAGATGTCTGACTAACTAAATGTTTTGGGTTTTTTTCTCAACAAAACAGATGATTTTTATTTAGTTTTTATTTAGTTTTATTTCTCTTTTTCTTAATTAAGGTGGGAGTGGTCGACGAAAACTCACTGTCATTCCACCAGAGGAAGAGGGCTATACCACCAAAGCTCTGCGAGCTGCGTCAGCAGGCGGCAAAGCCACTTTTTACATAGTACCGCTTCAGGAGACATTGGACACTTATCCTCTTCCTCCTGACTCAACTCACTTCTCAAAATTGGCAAAGACGGCATGTTACCAGTGTAATGAATTGATGCCTTTGCAGATGCTTGCACTGCACATTAAGACATGCAAGGGGAAACTGTCTGATGATGATGGTGATAATGATGATGAGGTGAGGGCAAATAATTTTTGTTTTAAGAAAATTACAATTAAATTTCATTTACTGTTCTGTAATTTTGCAGTCCTCTGATGGCACATGTGTTGTGGAGAACAAGTGTAAGGTAAATATAGCATATCATTAAAATCCTAGATCACTTTGGTTTGCTTTGCAACAGCTGTTTTTTTTTTTTTTTTACATGAAACAACTTTTTTTTTTTTTAATTTCAGGTGGTTTGTCCAATCTGCACCAAAGAATTCCCAGATGACGAGATCACAGTCCATGCTCGTCTATGTGGAGAGAGGTAATCTGCTTTGTCCTGCTGTTTGTATAATAAACATTTATAGATTAATGTCTATATATAATCTATATGACCTGAACAATGTCTGTGTATACTGTGTGTACAGTGTTTAGTGTTTGAGACAATTGTTTGCTGTACAGCTTTGAATGAACACTGACTTCTGCACCAAATGACAATAGTCCAAGTACAGCTGCTCACACTCCAGTATCCAAACCAAAAAGGTATGATGTATTAAGCTGTCCTTTGCATGTGTTTATTTTTAATAGCGCATACATGTTTTGCTCCATCATTTACACAGTCAACATGTTCTCAGTTAGACAAGAGCTAGCCATCACATACTTTCAAATTATTTTATTGTGTACAAATTTTGTTTGGGTATTTGGGACTGTATTATTATTTCTTCTGTTGTCTTCTGTAGTTTGTGATGTGTTTGAACTTGAGTTTGTGGCATTTGCTGAACTTGAGTTTGTGGCGTTTTTTAATAATAATAATACATTTTATTTGAAGCGCCTTTCACGTCACTCAAGGACACTTTACAGAACATATAAAAACAATAATAAAACACTATTAACAATTAAAATCATTAATCATCAAACAGTTAAAATCAACAAAGCAACATTAAACATGAACAACAGCAAAGGAATAAATAAAGAAATTAATAATACCAACTGAAATTTAATTTAAAAAAGTGGGTTAGGGGTGGTGGGAGGGATAGGCCAGTATAAACAGGTGTGTTTTGAGTTTGGACTTGAAGAGGGGGAGGGAGTCTATGTTGCGGATGTGTGATGGTAAAGAGTTCCAGAGTCGGGGGGCAGAGCGACTGAAAGCTCTGCCCCCCATAGTGCTGAGGTGAACAGGGGGCACAGAGAGGTGGAGAGAGGAAGAGGAACGGAGGTGGCGTGTTGGAGTGGCGATGTGGAGGAGGTCAGATAGGTAAGGAGGGGCGAGGTTGTGGATGGCTTTGAAGGTATACAGGAGGATTTTGAACTGGATTCGTAGAGGGACCGGGAGCCAGTGAAGCTGCTGAAGGATGGGGGTGATGTGGTGGGACGAAGGGGTTTTGGTGATGATACGGGCAGCGGAGTTGTGGACCAGTTGAAGTTTATGGAGAGACGTGTAAGGGAGACCGAAGAGGTGGGAGTTGCAGTAATCCAGACGGGAGGTGACGAGACTGTGGACGAGGATGGAGGTGGTGTTGGGGGAGAGGGAGGGGCGGAGACGATTGATGTGGCGGAGGTGGAAATAGGCAGTGCGAGTGGTAAGGCTGATGTGGGATTTAAAAGAAAGAGAACTGTCAAGGACGACACCCAGACTCTTGACCTGAGGTGAGGGGGAAACTGAGGAACTGTCGATGGGAAGGGAGAGACTGTCAACTTTGGATAGGGTGGATTTGGAACCTACAAGAAGAATTTCTGTTTTCTGACTGTTTAATTGGAGAAAGTTGGAGGTGAACCAGGATTTAATTTCAGATAGGCAGGTGATGAGGGAGGTGGGTGGGAGGGTGGAGTTTGGTGAGCTGGAGAGGTAGAGCTGGGTGTCGTCAGCATAGCAGTGGTATTGAATGTTGAATTTATGGAAGATGGAACCAAGGGGGAGGAGGTAGATGATGAACAGCAGGGGCCCCAGGACAGAGCCCTGGGGCACACCTGAACTGACTGGGGAGGGGTCGGACTTGAATGATTTGAGCTGGATGAACTGTGTGCGGTCTGAGAGGTAAGAGTGGAACCAGCGGAGGGGAGTGTGGGTGATGCCGATGGAGGAGAGTCTACGAAGGAGGATGGGATGGGAGATAGTGTCGAAGGCTGCACTACGGTCGAGGAGGATGAGGATGGAAAGTGAACCGGAGTCAGATGCAGTGAGAAGGTCGTTAGTAATTTTTAGCAGTGCGGTTTCGGTGCTGTGGCGGGGGCGGAAACCAGATTGGAAGGGGTCGTAGAGGGAGTTCTGGGTTAGGTGGGTGTGAAGTTGGCTGGCGACGACCTTTTCCATTATTTTGGCTATAAACGGTAGATTTGAGATGGGGCGGAGGTTGTTGAAGTTATTGGGGTCAGAGCCAGGTTTTTTAAGGATAGGGGTGATGGCTGCTGTCTTGAGGGATGCGGGAACAGTTCCAGTGGTGAGTGAGGAGTGAATGATGGCAGATATGAGAGGGAGCACAGATGGGAGGCATGATTTGAGCAGTGTGGTGGGAAGGGGATCCAGCTGACAGGTTGAGGGTTTGGATTTCTGGATGAGATCATAGATTTCAGAGTCATTGGGGAGAAGAAAACTGGAGAAGGGCTGGTGGTGTGGCAGGGGAGTAGGTGAGTTTGGAGGGGGTCCAGGGGGAAGAGAACCTGAGTGTAGTTGTTTATGGATGTTGGAGATTTTGTCATTAAAAAACTGCATTAGGGTGTTGCAGGTGTCGGTTGAATACAGGTGGGGAGGGAGGGAGTCCGGTGGCTGGAGAGATTTGTTGAGGAGAGTGAATAGTGATCTGGTGTTTCCTTTGTTGGAGATGATCTGGGCGGAGTAGTGGTCTGTTTTTGCGTGAGAAATTGAGTCCTTGTAGCAGCGTATGTGGTTAATGTACATTTCTTTGTGAATGGAGAGTCCAGTTTTCTTGTAAAGTCTTTCCAGTTGGCGGCCTTTGGTTTTCATGGAGCGGAGGTGGGGGGTGTACCAGGGTGCAGTTGTGGAGAAGGAAACAGAGCGTGTTTTGAGTGGAGCGAGGGAATTGAGGATGCTATTTAAACAGGTGTTGTAATGAGATGTTATGTCATCAGGGGTAGTGTAACAGTCCGGGATCACAATATTCATAATCTTAGAGCGCAGAGTGTCAATGTTTATGTTCTTAAGGTTGCGGAATGTAATGAGGCGTGGTGAATAAACTCTAGAGAGGGAGAGCGGAATACTGAAGGAGATGAGGAGGTGGTCACTTACGTGGAGATCATCAGCTGTGCAGTTGGATGGGATGAGGCCAGAGCAGCAGAGTAAATCCAGAGTGTGTCCTTTAGTGTGTGTTGGGAAGTTGATGAATTGATGGAGTCCAAAACTGTCCAGGCAGGATGAGAAGTCTCTGGTGAGGGGGAGGTTGGTGTTGTCAATATGGATATTGAAGTCCCCCAGTATTATTATGTTTGGTGAGAGTGTGCATAGATGGGTGAGTAGAACCGAAAAGTCATTTAAGAAGTCAGAGTGAGGCTTGGGGGGGCGGTAGATGGTGGCGATGATGGTGGGAGTGGGTCCAGGGAGTGTAATTGCCAGAAGTTCGTGTGAGGAGAAAAGAGGCAAGGACAGCGGTAGAACTTTCCACTTTTTGTGGTGGATGACGGCGATACCTCCACCACAGCCGTGGCTGCGGGGGTGGGAGAGGTAGGTGTAGTCCGGGGGGGTGGAGTCTTTGAGTGATGAGAAGTCATTTGGTTGTTGCCATGTTTCAGTGATGCACAGGAAGTCCAGCTTGCGGTCAGTGAGGAGATCGTGGATGATGTGTCCCTTGTTGGTGAGTGAGCGGATGTTGAGGAGTCCGAAGCTGACAGAGGTATTGTCATGTTTGGTGAGGATGGGAGCCAGTATGGATGGGCTTGTTAAAACAGAGTGATTGACAGTCCGGGTGGTGTATCTATTAGAGTGGTGTCTGTTGGTGATATGGACAGGAATAGTGAGAAGTTGGATACTACTGTAATTATTAGGGAGTGGGGAAAAAATGTCATGAAAACCTGTGGCAGAGGGAGTCGGTACCAGGATTTGCCAGCAGGGGGAGCTCTGGGGAGGACCTGTCAGCAGTGAGTGCACAACAGAGGGAGAGGGGTGTGTGTGAACTTGAACTTGTGGCATTTGTTGAACTTGAGTTTGTGGTGTTTCGTTGAACTTAAAGTTGTGGTGTTTGTTGAATTTTAGTTTGTGGGATTTTTTTTACTTGAGTCTGTGGCCTTTGTTAAACTTGAAGTTGTGGCAGTTGTTGAACTTGAGTTTGCTGTGTTTTTTTAACTTGAGTTTGGGGTGTTTGTTGAACTTGAGTTTGTGGCACTTTTTGAACTTGAGTTTGTAACTTTGACGATCTAACATGTGACAACATTTGAGCTCAGAGTTTTAGGACTGTGACTGTTGGTAGTTGTGATTTCATTTTGTTGAAATATGCCAAATTGTGAATTTATGGTATATTGTTGTTCAGACAATTGAGCTAAGCTAGCTAGCAACTGCTTATGTCAGCAGTCACTTGTTGCCATAGCAAACATTCACGTAGGGATTAATGAGCTGGAAATAGAGATGCAGAATCAAGCTATATTATAAACTATATATTATAGAAATAGGTGTGTGTGTGTGTGTGTGTGTGTGTGTGTGTGTGTGTGTGTGTGTGTGCTCTTGTGTGCTCTTGTGTGTGAACATAAACAAACTCTTGCTTTTGACAAGTTGTTTACACAGGTGCAACTGCAGCCAAAGCTGAAAATGTATTTTGCATGTAGTATATATGAAAATAATTCATTTTTTTCTGTTTGGCATCATTTCATCGTCATTTAAAGGGTTAAAATCTTCAGACAACAGGAGGGTTTTTTAAAATTTCAATTGTACTTTCGGTATAATAAGACTGGCAGTTCAACTTCAGGATAAAAAGAGTGACCTTTCAGCACCTATGTAACATCCTGCGGCCTAGTTTGACACACCAGAGTACAAGATACAGACACCCTGTCCCTGTAGATCTTCGGGTGGCAATATGTCTGTGGCGTTTGGCAACCAATCTTGAATACACATCTATCTCTCAATTGTTCGGTGTTGGTATGTCCACTGCTTGTCAAATTACTCAAGAGGTTGTGACAGCCATAAACAAGGAAATGAAACACCACTACCTCAAGACCCCATCTGATGTGGAGCTAAGGTTGATTGTCCAGGGCTACAGAGATAAATGGAGGTTCCCACAGGTTGCAGGAGCAACAGACGGGACCCACATCGGCATCCTGGCACCAGCAGATCACCCTGCAGATTATTACAACAGGAAAGGATTCTACTCGATCCTGTTGCAGGGTGTAGTTGACCACAGACTGAAATTTTGGAACATCAATGTTGGCTGGCCAGGTAAAGTCCACGATGCCAGAGTTTTTGCAAACTCTTCTCTGGATCGTCGGGGTCAGAGTGGCACGTTGTTTCCAGGGTGGACTGAAGAATTTGAAGGTGTGGATGTGCCCCTGGTTATTCTTGCCAATGCGGCATACCCACTTCTGCTTTGGCTGCTGAAGCATTTTTCCGGAGGGGAGAGGTGTCACACCAGCTGAAACTCAGTTCAATCATCGACTCAGTCAGACAAGGATGACTGTAGAGAGAGCCTTCGGATGGCTGAAGGGTAGATGGAGATGTCTTCTCAAAAGGTGTGATGGGCACATTACACTGGTCAGCCATATTATCGCAGCCTGCTGTGTTTTACATAATGTCAGAATAATGTGCATAAATGTATATAGAAGTTTTCATTTTTACTCATCTTCTTATGTAAGAGTTTACTACAAGTATGAACTGTTTTGACCTCTTGTTGCACATCAAATAAGAGTGTTTTCTAACTTCTCTCTCCAATAGCTTTATTACACAGCACATAAGTGTTTCTTAACTTCTCTGTGACCTAGTTTCTCCTATCAGCAGGTGTGTGTGTGATGTAACCTCCACTGTGAATTGTGGGAAGAAATGAGGAAGATCCGCTCCTATCAAAAGGAGCTCGTTTAATGTCAACAATGTCGTCTTGACCCTCACATATTTTCTGTGTTCATTATTATGTTTTATGAGAGTGCTTACGTTGCTGCACATATTTTTTCCCCCATCCTTTAGGGACAACCCTAAATATAAGAGACTGGAAAGAAATACCTTCAGAATGGTTTTGAGATTGCAACTGAAACTATCTCTGTCCATTCTCCTCAAGTAAGAAACCATTGTCTTTCTCTTCTTTATATGTATTCAGTCATTTGTTGCAGGTTTTAGACCCAACACATAACTATTGTGAAATGCACAACAAGCAATGGGAAGACGTGGATCCTGAAGATAATGGACAGGCTGGTGATGACAATCTCACTCAGGCCAAAGATGATGGACAGGCTGGTGATGATAATCTCCATCAGGCCCAATATGGTCGCCATATCAGAGACGCACTGTTTGCCTATTTTTCACACTGACAAGCTTTTGTTGTTTTCTCCTGTTTTAATTGCGCTAAACTGGATGAAAGTGTCTGATAATTGAAATTGTTTTTTATATGTTTTTTCACAGCAGCAATTACAGCAAAAATGTTAAGAGTACGAGTTTTTTAATTTTTGATTTGTAGAACAGGATTTGTTCACCTGTAATTTCAGAAGGTGCTACAACTTCCTCTGCATGGAAGAGATTGACTTTCACTCTCTGTCTAAGAAGGATGTGGCTGATGTCCAGTCTCTGATGATGTATGCTGATGAAATTATTAGCTGTGGATACAGCAGCCAGATCAAACTGGACAGCAAGGAAAACATCATTTGGTAAGTGTTTTAAAACAATATTAACATTTTATTTGAATTTTAATTAATTTTGACAACACCTTAACACATTTCTCACAGTGATACATACGTATTGACAGTCAATTAAAAAGAAGAAAATACACAAAAGCAACAATATTATCAATTTAAATACTTTTTATAAAAATAAAAAAAAACAATTTCAAACCAGTATTGTTTTTTTTTCTGTGCTTTTCTTCAAAGAGCAATTGTTCTACATTCTACAACAAGATTGATTCCAATGCTGCAGCAACTGAGAAAGGGAATGGAACTGTATGGCCTGGTGAACCTGATGGCATCAAACCCCGCAGCTTGCCACTCCTTGTTTGTTCCTGGGAAGATCACCAAAGTAAACTTTTATATCAGTTCTTTTTTTTAACTTTTTTTTTTCTTAAACACTTTATTTGTAATTTTCCAATTATCATATAAAACTATCATTATTTTACAATCGTTTCACAAATAACTATAGAAAAACAATCCCAAAGTAAAAATTTTAACTGCCACTTATTTTGTTCTTACATAGCCTACATTGTTGTTCTGTAGTGCAATTTCCATTTTGTATGTCATTAATAGCCTGAGTTTGTACACTTAAAGATATTTAGCCAAATCTACATTCACTCTTTATAGCCTGATGCTGATTCCATGATGATGAACTGCCAGCCACATTACAGTGAAAAGGGGACATCTAAGGAAAGAGCTGAGAGGAAAGTGATCAACTTCCTCCAAGATTTCTTAGAAGAGCTTGAAATGCCAGGTATGATGTACTGTATAGTATACACATAACATCATTTAATGTATCAAAAGCATAAATGTTCTTGGATTTTTATTAAACTGAGTTTAAACTGTTTCTTAAATTCACGTTATTTGTAAAATATATTAATCACAGATGGGGAGACAGACAGTGCAGCTGGCGACAAAAAACCTCTTGCAGTGCCACATGTGCTACAGTGGATGACAGGGCAATCCCACATCCCCGTCCTGCCTGATGAAAAGAGACATTTCAAAATAACATGTAACTTTGACCATGAATGCGGGGAAAGGCTTGGAGACCACTTGGTTTGTTACCCAATTGTGAGTGCATGCACTCAGACTGTGACTTTTCTAATACAGCATCTTAGCACTTACACTGAGTTTAGAAGAATCATGAGTGAAGCAGTGCGATATGGTGGTGGATTCCACAGAGTTTAACAGCTGTATGCCAAAGGCTATTTGATCTGAAAAACAGACCAGTTATAAAGTTTTGTTATTCATTTATTTGTTGATTTTTTCAACACTTAATACAGGATTTTTCACATGCATTTGCTGGAAATGTATGTGAGACAAGGTTCCTGTAAGCAGCTAATGTGTCTATTAATGTTCATGTTCTAATGTCAGACACCTTGTGCAAGAACTGTATGTACAAGTCACAACCATGTGACTGAGAATGTCCCAGAGGATCAATAGTTCTCTGAAGTTCCTCCAGGGCGTCATCATCCAGTGGGCATGCGATGTCAGGAACCACATCTGCTCCATTTGAGTCCTCTTGCAGTACGACACTCTCCCAGTCAATGTCTGGGTCTTGAAGTTCCTACAGATCCAGAAAGACAAAAAAAAAAACAAAAAAAAAAACAATGACTCAAGACTGTTATGAAAATATTGCACTGCTGTAGGCAAAGGCATTATGGTTTGTTAGAGAAAATTATCTGCGCCATCTACACAAATCATGACAAGCTCATCATAAGACATAACCATGTTGTTAGGATAGATATTCGCCAGTGTGTTCCACAGTCCAACTGCTTCTGGTAGTAATCTGTCAGAAAACAAGATCGCTATCAGCTTGCCACGCACTTTTACAATTCATGTTTTATGTCTTATGTGAACTGTTCTTTTATAATGTTATACCTCAAGTCTTTTCCTTTCATCCAGATCTTGTTGATGTCCCATACACCACAGCTGTTCTAGAGTGAGACCTCCTTCTGTCCGTAGAGTATGTTTATTCCATCCTCTGATGAAGGTGTCAAGATTGGCCTGGAGTCGAGAGACAAAGATGTAGTGCACACCAAAGAGGTGTACCACATCATCACATATAATGTAAACCCAGACAAGGCAGCCCTAATGTTATATCACTAAAGTACAAAAACTAACAAGGTACTTCTATAACATGAGACAATAATCATAATAATAATAATAATAAGAAATACTGCCGATACATTGTATCCAACGAAGTCCTCCCTCTCCCGTCCAAGTCTGTCTGATGCGATCTCCTTTGCTTTTTCTGGGTGAATGTAACTAGCGATCTAATTGGAGAACAAACAGCCAATCAGAGTGTACTTCCGCCAGTTCTCGGATTGGTTGGCTTTGTGGCACAGTGTAACGTGTGTGTCAAGCTGAGCGCGCAGAGAGCACACACCCGAGCGCAGAGGGCGAGAGGTTGAGTGAGAGAGGGAGGGGGGAAGTGAGCGCGTAAAACTAAAATGCAAAAGCATTTATGGTTTACAGAATTGATTTTTTTTTTTTTTGCTCAATATATTTTTCTGTGTCATAACCCGGCTCTTAAGCCATGACATATATGGAAACGGACGCAGTGTAGGGCGGAAAGTGAAGATTTATTTTACCAAAGTGAAGACTTAAACAATAATTTGTAAATATGGAGTGTGTTAGTCAGTGATATCAGTCATGTAAGTGTGGATGTGTGAGTAATGAAGTGTAGGGTGTTGTGGGGTGAAAATAAACCAAAGTCAAACCGAAGCAAAAATCCTGCAACAGCAGGCCTGTGGCAGGGTCAGAGGAAGAGAGCGAGCCGCACTGGAGAAGGGCCTTTTATGCTCTGTGGCAGCATTAGGCACAGGTGCTTCAATTGTCCGCCACACCCACTCTCTCCCAGGTAGCCCTGCAGGGAAAACATGAAATGGCTCCACCAGGATTAGTCCACCAGACCCCAGTTAGGCAGGGCCGTCACATCTGTGCTCAAAATGTGTCATTATGTGCTCAGAATCTATCATTGCTCGCTTTTGTTTGCTCAATGTATTTTTCTGTGCTCAAAATCTATCATTGCTCGATCAAAATCTTTCATTGCTCACTCAGGATACTGGTACAAAAATAAATCCATAGAGTTTGTGGTGTTTGTTGAACTTGAGTTTGTGGCATTTGCTTTACTTGAAGTTGTGGCATTTGTTGAACTTGAATTTGTGGCATTTTTTGAACTTGAAGTTGTGGTGTCGTCAAATTTGAGTTTGTGGCAATTGTTGAACTTAAGTTTGTGGCATTTTTTGAACTTGATTTTGTGGTGTTTGTTGAACTTGAGTTTGTGGTGTTTGCTGAACTTGAGTTTGTGGCATTCCTTGAACATGTGTTTGTGGTGTTTGTTGAACTTGAGTTAGTGGTGTTTTTTGAAGCTGAGTCTATGGCCTTTGTTGACTTTGTGGCATTTGTTAATCTTGAGTTTGCTGTGTTTATTGAACTTGAGTTTGTGCTGTTTGTTGAACTTGAATGTGTGGCAATTTTTAAACTTAAGTTTATGGCCTTTGTTAAAGTTGATGTTGTGGCGTTTGTTGAACTTGGGTTTGTGGCGTTTGTTGAACTTGAACTTGTGGCATTTGTTGAACTTCAGTTTGTGGTGTTTCATTGAACTTGAAGTTGTGGCGTTTGTTGAACTTGAGTTCGTGGCATTTGTTGAACCTGAGTCAGTGCCCTTTATTGACTTTGTGGCATTTGTTAATCTTGAGTTTGAGGCGCTTGTTGATGCTGAGTTTGTGGTGTTTATTGAACTTGAGTTTGTATTGTTTGTTGATCTTTAGTTTGTGGCATTTGTTGAACTTGAGCTCTTGGCATTTGTTGAACTTGAACTTGTGGCATGTGTTGAACTAGAGTTTGTGGTGTTTGTTGAACCCGAGTTTGTGGCGTTTGTTGATCTTTAGTTTGTGGCATTTGTTGAACCTGAGTTTGTCGTGTTTGTTGAACTTGAGGTCATGGCCTTTCTTGAACTTGAGTTTGTGGCGTTTGTTGAATTTGAGTTTGTGGTATTTGTTGAACTGGAATATGTTCCTTTTTTTGAATTTGAGTTTGTGGCATTTGTTTAACTTGAGTTTGCGGTATTTGTTGAACTTTAAATTTTTGGCATTTGTTAAACTTGACTTTGTTATGTTTGTTGAACTTGAGTTTTGGTGTTTTGTAAACTTGAGTTTTTGGCAATTGTTTAACTTGAGGTTTTGGTGTTTGTTGAACTTGAGTTTGTGGTGTTTTTGAACTTGAGTTTGTGGTGTTTGTTGAACTTGAGTTTGTGGCGTTATTGATCTTTAGTTTGTGGCATTTGTTGAACTTGAGTTCTTGGCATTTGTAGAACTTAAACTTGTGGCATGTGTTGAACTAGAGTTTGTGGCATTTGTTAAACTTGAGTTTGTGGTGTGTGTTGAATTGAATTCTTGGCGATTGTTGAACTTGATCTTGTGGGATTTGTTGAACTTGTGTGTGTGGCGTTTTTTGAACTTGAATTTGCTGTGTTTTTTGAACTTGAGTTTGTGACAATTGTTGAACTTGAGGTTTTGTTGTTTGTTGTACTTGAGTTTGTGGTGTTTGCTGAACTTGAGTTTTTGGCATTTGTTGAACTTGAATTTGTGGGATTTGTGAATTTGAGTTTGGTCTGTTTTTTTTAACTTGAGTTTATGGTGTTAGTTAAACTTGAGTTTTTGCCATTTTTGAACTGTATTTTTTGGTGTTAATTCAACTTAAGTTTGAGGCGTTTGTTGAACTTGAAGGTGTGGCATTTGTTGAACTTGAAGGTGTGGCATTTGTTGAACTTAAGTTTGTGTTTTTTGTTGAACCTGAGTTTGTGGTGTTTGTTTAACTTAAGTCTGTGGTGTTTTTTGAACATGAGTTTGTGTTTTTAATTGAACCTGAGTTTGTGGCGTTCGTTGAACTTGAGTTTGTGGCAATTGTTGAACTTGAGTCTATTGTGTTTGTTGAACTTGAATTTGTTTCTTTTTTTGAATTTGAGTTTGTGACATTTGTTTAACTTGAGTTAATGGTGTTTGTTTATCTTGAGTTTGTGGTGTTTGTTGAACTTGAGTACGTGGCCTTTGTTGAACTTGAAGTTCTGGTTTTTGTTGAACTTGTGTTTGTGACGTTTTTTGAACTTGAAGTTTGCCATGTTTCTTGACTTTGAACTTGTGGTGTCTTTTGACCTTGAGTTTGTGGCAATTGTTGAACTGGAGTTTATAGGGTTTGTTGAACTTGAGTTTGTGGCGTTTGTTGAACTTGAGTATGTGGTGTTTATTGAACTTGAGTTTGTGGCGTTTGTGGCGCTCACTGCGGGTGTCCCTATCATCAAAGCGTAAGTGTCGCATGATGTCTTTGAAGCGATTTCGGGACATGGTTGCAATGATCTGGGGGTAACCCAGGTTTGCTGACCAGCAGTCACTCATTGATGGAACCTTGGTCAGCCCCCGCGAGATGATGATAGCAATAAATGCCATTAGTTCAGGGAGGGCCATGAACCAATCAACATACTCTGTTTGCTTTGTATGTTGAACAGTACAGTCTTGAATAGAACCAAGCATGTCCAGTGTAATGAAACACAGGAAGCTCTGAAGACGAGTCAAGCTGGACCTCCTGGCCTTAGCCATTGGTTTTCCATCTGCTGAGGTGCAGGGACATCAGGAGAAGTAGAATCAAACAAAACAAACAGAGGCCCAAACTGTCTGTGCAGTGGCTATGGCTGAAGCAGTTTCTGTCTACAGTTGTTCTCAGGTTGGAAACTCCCCTCCCCCTCCCCACTGCCTCTCCCAACAACACAAGTTTTCTTGAAGTAACTCAGCATATCTCCTCCTGTGGTGCGCCAGCGATTGCCTCGTTTGCATAACAAACTGAGTGTTCACAGGTGATTTAGTACTGGCTAAAAGCCCTCCAAGCCGATCGGCTGCCCTTTGGTCTTTCTAGGTAGAACAGCAAAAGCTGGTCCTTCTAGTGTTAAGTATGTGGCATATTTTTAAATTGGTTTTGTGGTGTTTGTTGTACTTTAGTTTGTGGTGTCAGCTGAACTTAAGTTTTTGGCATTTGTTGAACTTGAATTTGTGGCATTTGTGAATTTGAGTTTGCTCTAGTGTTAAGTATGTGGCATATTTTTAAATTGGTTTTGTGGTGTTTGTTGTACTTTAGCTTGTGGTGTTAGTTAAACTTGAGTTTTTGCCATTTTTGAACCTTATTTTTTGGTGTTAATTCAACTTGAGTTTGAGGCGTTTGTTAAACTTGAAGGTGTGGCATTTGTTGAACCTGAGTTTGTGGTGTTTGTTGAACATGAGTCTGGTGTTTTCTGAACTTGAGTTTGTTTCTTTTTTTGAATTTGAGTTTGTTGCATTTGTTAAACTTGAGTTTGTGGTGTTTGTTGATCTTGAGTTTGTGGCATTTGTTGAATTTGAAGTAATGGATATTGTTGAACTTGAATTTTTTTAGTGAGTATGTGTCTTTTGCTGATCTTGACTTTATGGCCATTGTTGAAATTATGTTTGTGGCGTTTGTTGCACTTAAGTTTGTGGTGTTCGATGAACTTGAGTGTGTGGCATTTTTTGAACTTGAGTTTGTGGCAATTGCTGAACTCGAGTTTTTGGCATTTGTTGAACTTATGTTTTAGGTGTTTGTTTGACTTGAGTTTGTGGTGTTTGCTGAACTTGAGTTTGTGGTGTTTGCTGAACTTGAGTTTCTGGCATTTGTTAAACTTGAGGTTGTGGCATTTGTTGAACTTCAGTTTGTGGTGTTTGCTGAACTTGAGTTTTTTGCAACTGTTGAACTTGAACTTATGGCATTTGTGAATTTGAGTTTGCTCTGTTTTTTGAACTTGAGGTTGTGGTGTTTGTGAAACTTGAATTTTTTGCCATTTTTGAACTTTAGTTTGTGGCGTTTGTTGAACTTGAGTTTGTTGTGTTTGTTAACCTCTTCTACCCTAAGCACATTTTAAGGGGAAAAAAACGCCTAAAAGACATACCCAAAGTAAATGAGGAATTACTACACTTTACTAAAGGTTATATGCATGTTCTTGGTGTCCTTGGACATCTAGAGACTTCAGAGAATGTGTTCCAAGTGTCAGAAGTGTTTTATCTGTCATTATGCCTGAGTAAATTGGAATGAATCAGAGGAAAAGTTATGTTTTTTTACCCTCGCCAAAATGTTTTCTTTTTTCAACAGGGGAAAACACAATGCTGGCAATGAGTCCAGGCCCCCAGATGACATTGATTAGCTTCATCCACTCCTTGACCACAAATGTACCAAATTTGATAGAATTTGGGCAAACAATAAAGCCTACATGAAGGTTTTTGTAAGGGTACACCCAGGCGAGGACTCAGTTTGGCACAATTTGGCACACTTTGTGCCAAACAGTTTATTTTCTACCTCTGATGAAAACTGGCTCCAAATTACAATTAATTTCCATTAGACTAGTCTCTTACTATCTATTGGAGCCTTTGGATATGAAATTTACCTTGTGACTCATCAATTTCTACCATTCTGCACAATATATTTGTTTATATGCGATAAATAATAATGAAAATAACAGGAAATTCTACATTGTTTGGCTCCACAGGGAGTATTTTTATTTAAAGAAAAGTGCAAAAAGAGAAACAACCACTCAGTGCAAACAATGTAAAATAAATAGTAAAGGTGCAACAAATATAAAATAAAAAACAATAGATAACAATATAAAACACAGCAAACACAATTAGTGCAAATGAAATGTAAGTAAAAGGTGCAACAAAACTATTTACAATCAGCAATAAGGGGATGGAATGGCTTTCCAGCTACAGTTCTTTTTGTAAATAAATCTAACAAACAATAAATAAATAAAGAAAATATAAAGTGATCAATATAAATATAAAGGAATGGAATGTGCAGGTAAACAAAAAACACAGCAAAACACAGCAAACAATATTACAGTAAGTAAAAATGTGCAAAAAATCTAACTATTTACAAGGGATGAATATGGTTCTTGAATACCCAACAAGTTATTGCTTTTTGTGATACTCCACAAAGCAGTTTCTTCCGGGCACAAGGCAAAGTGACACATTGCACCTTGAACAGAAAACTGGTGTCTTCATGTCCTTTGCCTTGTAGCCCTGCACCTGCTTGGCCTTTTCCCTTTCCTTGGCCGCACAGACCACACATTTCCTGCGCTGCTCACTGTTAGCACCCCCCCTGAACACAGGCATGCAGGTGTTAGTACCGCTTGGGCCAGGGGTGGCTGCAGCAGGAATAGGTTTAGCCTGCTCAACCATTTCCTTCATCAAAACCTCCCTGAATCTTTTTAGGGACATAGGGGTCTGGTTTTGGCAGGTGGCCACTGCTTTGTGGAGTATGAAGCTGTTCACCACAGCAATATCAACGAAATGGTAGAAAAATGTTTTATACCACCGCATTGTCTTGCTGTGGACGGTGTAATATTGGATCAGAGCATCCGAGAGGTCCACACCACCCATGTTTATGTTGTAGTCCCTGCATGCGTCTGGTACCTCAACAGGACCCCTGTGCCAGCGTCCATCCGGTCCCTTTACCCTCCTCTGTACAGTGGCCCCGCTGTATGCCTTGTGGAAGGTGCTACAGATGTTGACAATTTTTGTGTCCATCCACCGTGCAAAAAGTAGGTTG